GACTTCAGTCTGTGTGACTGCGTTCTCTGTGTCAGCCTGGGACTCTCACCCCCCATAGTCCACCCTGGTCCTTGCCGAGTGCCCTCCAGGGGCTCTCATACACTCTGACTCTGACTTCAAGAAGGCCTTGTTCTTTTAAAGAGTGCGCCCACCCGGATACTCCCTTTTAATTAGCTCAGAGTTAACCGGTGAGCAACCTAGCCGGAGTGACATTCTGTCACCTGCAGGTTCTGCCTGTCCCTCGAGTTCGATTTCACAGGCATGCAGGCCAGGCACTTGGAGCCATTGAGCTCTGCCTGCCACCCTCTGGTGACTGAGCTCCCATGGGATCAGCTCTTCCTGTTCAGCTTGTGTGGTCCTGGGCAGTCCTGAGGGTGATCTCAGCTGGAGTGGCCAGTGGGGGTCTCCGTTGTCCTGGCCTCAGCGGTCAGTTCAGAGGTGGGGAGGCCCAATCACAGTAAATCCGGGGCCTTTGCTGGCACAACCAGGAAAGACAATCAATCTTGCTCTCGCTCTCGCTCTCGCTCTCAACATGGCTGAAGTGTTCGGTTCTCCATTTAATGCCAACGGTGCTGCCATCAAAGAGAGCCCAGCTGTAAGCAGGGCCAGGCTGTGAGAGGGCAGAGAAAGAGACCACAAGAGGGAAACCAACTCCTGAGGACCCGGTTGGCCTTTGGGTCCGCCCAGGCCTGAATCCAGGACCTCCCCTGGCTCTCGGCAGGGATCAGTGGAGAGGGTCTCTCCCGTGACTCAGGGGGCTCCGCCAGCTCCCGGCTTCCCCGCTGCCAGCAAGCAGCAGCGCGGAGTGAGGACAGAGCCTCCCCAGGCCAGGACCAGGGCGCGACAGCCCAAGTAAATCTGCCAGCACCAGTTGGTCAGACTGAACTGGTGGAGGACCCTTTTCCAGGAAGCAGCGAGGGAGCCAGACACCACGTAAAGAATGCAGATGGCCCGGCGCAGCTCCAGGAGCACAGCCCGTTTCCAGGAAGCCGGTGTCACCGGGAGAGAGCTGTCTGGGCCGCCCCAAGCGACCCCTCCGGCCAAGTCCTCCCAAACGCCAGCTCCCCCGGAGGATTTCACAAACAGATGGGACCTTAGGAAACGCCCGCCTCCCTCAACAAGAGAGAGAAGCCAGGGAAGCTTCTGACGTTTATATTGCTTCATGCCCTTGCCCTCCACAAGCAAATGTCTCTATTCCTTTTCACTCTTGTCCTGCTGCCTGGAGACCATGCTAGATAGAAAGATAGATATACATGGAGAGATAGATAGATAGATAATAGATAGATGATATATTAAATAGATGATTGATGATAGATAGATAGATAGATAGATAGATAGATAGATAGATAGATATACATGGAGAGATAGATAGATAGATAGATAGATAGATAGATAGATAGATAATAGATAGATAGATAAATATACATGGAGAGATAGATAGAGAGATAGATATGCGTGAACCCTCTTGCCTCCCTCAAGTCTCTGCTCAGTCATCCTTGTTTCTATGAGGCTTCCCCTGACCACCTGATTTTTACTTAAAGCTGTTCCCGCACTACCCCCCCCCCATCCTCCCCCCATCCTCCCCGCCACCACCTGACGCTCCCAGTTCTTCCTTCAGGGTTAGTTCTCTGCGTGTGTTATCACTCCCTACCTGTGTCACTGCCTCCCTGTGCCCGTGGACCGGGCTGTGCTCTGTGTCTGCAGTGCCCGGCACAGGGGCTGGTGGGAAGCTCGCAGGAAGGTGTGTTAAATAATATATTCCCGTCGTACTTCCCCGGTGCCCTGGAGTTGAAGTTGCCCAACATTTGTCTGATCAAAGGTCCTACTGAGTTCAGTGGGTGCGAGGAGGGAAGTGGTTTCACTCATCTATTCAACAAACGCGTAATGGTCACCACCCGAGGCCCAGCTGCTGGGGCTGTAGCCGGAAACCCTGGCAGTGAGGTGACAGACAGGGCTGCTGCCCACAATAGCTTAGGGCCCCTGCTGGAGAGTGGCCGTTCTTCCCACCCCAAATCCTCCCGGGAACCCAGACCCAGGAGCCGCTGCCATCAGCCTCGGGCTTCCCGCTGGGTCTCAGAGCAGGTCATGGAGAGGCGGCGCGGAGAGCGGGCCGCGCAGCCTGGCCTGCGGGGAGCTGATGGACCCCACGGGAGCGGGAGCGGGAGCCCACGGCTTCCCGGGGATGCTCTCTCCGAAGACGGGGGATGTGCCTCCTCCACGTGTCGTTCCCTGGCCTGGAAAGCCTTCGGAGAGGCGTCCTGCCCTCCCACAGGCCGTGTCAGGAGCGGGCGTAAGGGGGGATTCAGCCGAAGGACCTGGGGGTGATATCAGCACAGCCAGTATGGCCCCGTGCTGACCTGTCAGAACCAGCGCTGGCACCTGGCACCTGCCTGCAGGCGACGGTGATGCCTGCCTCCAGCTGGGGAAGCAGATGGAGACCGGGTGCACCACTGGGCTGACGCTGCAAGGTGAGCGGAGCAGCGCTCCCCGCGTGCACAGGGCTGCACCCGCCCGGGGCCTGCAGGCACAGGCTGGACTTGTCTTCCTGCCTGAGGCCATCACCAATTACATGTGCTGTGAGGCCACTGGCTGCCCGCCAGAAGAGGCGAAGGAATCCATAGTCTCTCTCTGATCTAACTTATTAGAGAAGCTAAAGGAGGCTGCTCTGCAGGAGATTAAAAAACACAGACAGCATTCAGTTCCCACCATGAGACAGGCCTGTGACAAGAATGCCTCTCCCTGACCTGGGAAATGGGGATCCCAGCAGCACCCCCTGGAGGGGAATGATGAGGGCGAGGTGAGCGTACTGCCAGAGCCGGCCCTCCAAAACGGGTGGGTCCTGGAAAAGATCAGAGCACAGGACGGCAGGGGCAGCGAGACACAAGCACACGCCATGGGCCAGGGAAGTCTAACTGGGAGGAGGCCTGTTCGCCGTCGCCGCCAGGACGTGGGATGGAGGAATCCTGGCGAGATCGAGGGTCTTTCTGCCGCAAACGTGCACAGACACCAGACACAGCCGCCCAGTGTCCCCCTCCGGGCATGGGCCCAACAACGCAAATGATCTGGCTGGGAGGCATCAGCGCCTTCCCCCTCCCGGCCGCCCACAGGAACCCAATCCTCGTCCACATGGCACCTGCCGGGCCACCCCTTCCAGACCCAGCCCTCTCCCGCCTGTCACCACCACCTGCGACATTCACGGGCGGTCTCTGCAGCACCTGCCAGGCTGTGTGCTGCGGCTGCTGTGCGCCTGCTGAGGGAGATGGGGTCCTCTGGGCCAGAGGCGGAGTGAGGCCCCGCCGCCCTCACGGGGGCCTGGCAGCCCGCAGGAAGCACGGGTGTGGCTGCCACCGAGAGCCAGAGCCTCAGTGCCACTCAGACCTACAAGCGCCAGGCTCCTCTGAGAAGAATGAAGAGCGTTTTTTTTGTCTTTTTTCCTCTTTCCTTGTCATATTTCTTTTTTTATTATTATTTGAGAGGGAGAGAGAGTGAGAAACATAAGTGTGTTGTTTCACTTACACATTCTTTGGTTGATGCTTGTATGTGCCCTAACCGGGGATCAAACCCAAACCTTGGTGTAGCAGGACAATGCTATAACCAGTGAGCGGCCGGACCAGGGCCTCTGCCACCCATGTGAACCCTCTTGCCTCCCTCAAGTCTCTGCTCAGTCATCCTTGTTTCTATGAGGCTTCCCCTGACCACCTGATTTTTACTTAAAGCTGTTCCCGCACTACCCCCCCCATCCTCCCCCCAACCCCCCCGCCACCACCTGACACTCCCAGTTCTTCCTTCAGGGTTAGTTCTCTGCGTGTGTTATCACTCCCTACCTGTGTCACTGCCTCCCTGTGCCCGTGGGTTCTGCAAGGTGAGTGGGTTCTGCAAGGTGAGTGGGTTCTGCAAGGTGAGCTGCAGGGTTCTGCTGTTTTGTTGTTCATCCTTACTCGACGATATTTTTCCATTGATTTTTCACAGGGTAAGGGAGGGGAGAGACAGAGAAACATCCATGTGAGAGAGACACACATCGATTGGTTGCCTCCCGCATGCGCCTGATTGAGCCTGCAGCTGAGGTCCATGCCCTTGACCAGAGCCAAACCTGAAACCTTTCAGTCTGCAGGCCGAGGCTCTATCCACTGAGCCAAACTGGCTAGGGCCACGCTCGTTTAAAAACCCACCCGTCAGGGAATGGGAGGGGTGGAATGTGCTGGGGGAGGGGAGTGCCCAGAGGCTGCGGGCACCCCAGAGTGGCAAGGGCACCTGGCTGGCTGTCACCCAGAAGGCACAGCCCGGGACAGAGCACATGCTGCCCCCTTCTGAGCTTTGCCTTCCTGAGCCTGAAACTTAAAGAAGCACCTTTCCCAGCCCCTAAAGGCTGTCTGCCCTCCTGGCCACAGCCCTCCTGGCCACGGCCTCCTGGCCACGGCCTCCCTGTAACTGGCTTCACAGCGGCTCCTTTCATTTCAGTCCACCCCACCCTGGCCCGGAGAGCGGGGCCATGGCCGACAGAAGAGGACTCAGGGGAACCAGCCGTCCATTGGGCTGCTCCCGGTGGAACACAGGCGACTGAAAAACATATTTCAGAACCGATTTCATGTTGAATCATGTTAAAGGTTTTAATTCCCAAGCAACAGAATGCCCCGAAACGCCGGTGAATCGCAGCAGCCATGAGGAAGCCGGGTCGCCGTGTCCGCCCTGCCGACGCTGAGGAGCCAGGGGAGCCTGGCGCCCGGGGCCCGTGGGCGGGAGGCCACGGCAGGAGCTTGCTGTCTGCCTCTCCCTGGAGAAAGGGCAGCAACCGCGGGAAGGTCCACGGGCCGACGGCAGCCCCCCTCCCACCCCCTGAAAGCTGCTGTCCGCCTGGCCGGCGAGAGGCTGGATGGAGCCGAGGCCTGGGCCCAGCAGGAGCCAGCGTGGCCTTCCAGGACCTTCGTTCAATGCCGCTCTGGTGGCAGCTCTGGGCGAGGCCTGCTGCACGGCGTGGGCAGTGGAGGGTGCCAGCAGGAGGCTCACCGAGGGAGCGTGGGCACTAGGACCAGCAGCGGGCAGCCCAGCCAAAGGGCCCGGGAGGCGGAGGCCCCTGCAAGGAAACACAGGGAAGTACAGTCTCCCAGCCAGGCGGGCACATACCAACTCCTCCGTCCTAAATGGGAATGGTGCCCAAAGCGGGCACTGGAGGGTGAGGATTTCCCGAGAGCGCAGAGCTGCCTCACAGAGGAGTCACTGCAGAGCTGGTTAAAAATGTAGATCCCCCTCCCCCTACCCCAGCAGATTCCGGTTCAGCAAGGCCCAGGCATCTGAATTCTAAGAATCAGAGCAGGAAGCAAGTTTAGGAAGCAAGAGGCTCAAGGCTGGCCCACTGGAGTGTTCGCCAGGGCCAACGCCCAGGCCTGGGCGTGATGGAGGGAGAGGCGTCTAGGACGTGCGCGGCTGAGCACCTGCAGGGAAGACTTTGCCAAGGCCCTGGCCACTTCCCGCAGTGCCGGCTCAGGGCACACCGCCGCTCTCTGCTCTGCCAGGGACGTGGCAGCATCAGCCGGGACTGCCAAACCCTCACCCTGGCTGCCCCACGCTCAGAGCTGCTCCTGCAGAGAATACCAGGTCACTCGCTGCTGCGTCCTTCGCAGCAGTAAAACAGAACAAGCAGAACCGTGAACCGTCCGTCTGCACGGACCTAGTTCGCTAAAGTTATGGCACCAGAAAACCAGCAATCGCACAGCCCTACAGGCAGACACGGGACTGTCCCGGTGAAAAATGCAGGACGCAGAACCACGCGCGTAAGCTGGGTCACAGCGCAGAGGTCGGCCAGGGTGACGAATCCGCACCAGGCTCAGGACCCCGGCAGCAGGCTGGGGGGGAGGGGAGGTCACTGCATCCCTTTTCAGGCCTGACATTGCTGGAAACATGCATCCTCTATTGTGTGTATCACACACACACACACACAAAATGCTACAACATTTGAAAGTAATTTCTAAATGTATGCACATTGCATTTAACGTTTTAAAGGAAATCACAGGAAGTCCCAGGGCAGGGCTCCGCTTTACAAGCGCCTCCTCTGGCCCCTGCGGCAGCAGCAATTGGGAGCCCCTACTGTGCCAGCCCGAGGGGCGGCTGGGAGAGCAGAGTGCAGGCTTAAGTCCACATTCTCTTTCTCTCTGGGTATTTGCTCAAGCTGCTCCCTCTACCGGGACCCCGTCACCCGGCTGAGCACCCATCTCCCCACCTTGGGTGGCACTGAGCCGTCACTCACCGCCTGGGGATATTTCCATGGCCCCTCCCCAATGTCCCCCATTAGGGCAGCGCGTCTCCCCTGTGTTCCCTCCTACCTGTGCTCCCCACTGCACCTGCCTCCCGCCACTGGGCACCATGTCTCCCGGCCCCACACTCTGAGGGTGGAGGACACGAGTGGCTTGTTCACAACTGTCTCCCCACGCCTTAGCCCGGGGATAGTAAAGACAGAAGGAATCACAAAGTGGGCGGGGGGGGGGGGGGGGGCGCAAGGAGGAACGGCGGGAAGCCAGGTCCCATGCCCCACTCAGCTCAGCCCCTGCTCACTCACCTGCCACTTCCCTGCCCTGCCCTGCCCGTACCAGCTGGAAAAATCACTTGCTCATTTACAAGACAGCTGGACCTGTCGTGCTCACCTCTGTATTCCCAGCCCCGACCGCAGGCCCGCACATAGCAGGTGCCCAGTGAGTGTTGGTTAGACTTGGTAATTAATGCCACACAGTGGGAAGGCAGGAGGCAAAGGCACCAGCGGAGTGAGTTTGGTCGTAAGCGGTCTGATCCAGTGTGTTCTGGGTAAGGCCGGTGGAACTGGCGGCTTTTAAAAGCTGCCCTGATCCTGGCCGGTTTGGCTCAGTGGCTAGAGCATCCACCTGAAGACTTAAGGGTCCTGGGATTGATTCCCTGCCAGGGCACAGGACCAGGTTGCAGGCTCCATCCCCAGAAGGAGGTGTGCAGAAGCCGATCAATGATTCTCTCTCATCATCAATGTTTCTACCTCTCCCTCTCCCTTCCTCTCTGAAATCAATAAAAGAATCATTAAAAATATTCTTCCACGGGCAGTGGGGAGTTTAGTCACTGTTACGTGTTCGGTGGACAGGACTTTTCTCCGAAGGCAGAGTCTCCAGTGAGCTTGCATCTTGGCCCTTCCCGCCCAGGCCCGGGAGCGGACACGGATGAGGGCTAGGGGTGGGTGGGCAGGGGCCTTCCGCTCACCTGGGCGAGACTGGGAGGGCGGGGTCTGGCTGGGGCTTGCGCTCGGGGGAGCTTCCAGCGAGGGGCGCGCCTTGGCGCCATCCAGCGCCCGCTGGAGGCTCTGCAGCTGCGGCGCGCGGAGCTGGCGGCGCTGGGCCGGGGTCGCCGCCGCCGCGTTCTCGGGGCCCAGGGCGGCGATCTGCCGGGCGGAGAGCTCCTGCGGGGAAGGGCAGCGCCTCGGTACCTTGTCGCGCCTGCTTTACGGTTTGTCCTTAAAATCAGACGCTTTCGCTACCGAAAGTATTTTCTAAAAGCAAATTTCCAAAAATGCAAACCAGAACGACTTCCCATCCATAACCAGCACCACAGCCAGAGAAGAATGCAGCCTCAGAATTCCAGCCGGGCGTTTGGCCGGCAGCGCCGAGTCCAGGTGCCCTGGCGGCTCAGGCAGCGGCGCTCGGAGGCTCCCCGCAGGCACCGGCGAGGGGCCCCGGGGCTCCGCAGCGCGGCGGCCGGAGGGCAGAGGCCAGGCAGGGACTCAGTGAGGGCGCCGCGGTGGCCGGAGGCTCCTCTCTGCGCGGGTCCACCGGGCACCGGGCCCAGGGGGGGTGCGGGGTCTCCCGGGGGTGTCTGCGTGGGCACCGCACGTGGGGGCTTCTGCGTGCATGGGGTCTCCCACGACCCGAACACCCTTCTGAACCGCTTCAGCTCCGAGGAGGCTCCGGTTCCCGCGGGTGTGCGCAGGCCGCGGACTTCACGGCTGGTTTTCCAAGGCCCCATGGTCCAGGAGGGGCTCATGCTCCCCCTTCCCTCCTCCCCCTCCACCGCCCTCCTCTACCTTTCCCTCCTCTGCTCTCCCCTCCTCCTCTAGTAATCCCCACCCCCTCCCCCTCCCCCTATTCCCCTCCCCTCCTTCCCCTACCTCTTTTCCCCTATCCCCCTCTCCCCCTTTCCCCACCCCTTCCCCCTCCCCTCCTTCCTTCACCCCTCTCCCCCTCCCCTCCTCTCCCCTTCCCTTCTCCCCCCTTCCCTCCACCCCCCTCCACCCCCCTCTTCTACCCTCCCTCCTCTACTCTCCTCTTCTCCTCTTGTTACCCTCCTCTCCTCCTCCCCCTCCCCCTCTCCCTCTCCACCCCTCCCCCTCCCTTTTTCTCCCTTCCCCTCCCCTCCCCTTCCTTTCTCCCCACACCTTCCCATCCGGGAGGTGCGTTCCTGGACCCCAGTCAACCCTCCCCTGCCCCTCACAGGACACAGCTCAAGCTACCACTGCCCCCGCCCCTTCACTCTGCCAGGGGTCGCCATCGTGCCTTCCCGCCTCCGCCGCCCTCCTCCCTCCTCCCCTCTACCCCCTCCTCTATCTCCCCTGTCCTGCATGGGGCATCGCCTCCTCTCTCTCTACGCACACACACACAAACATGCACACACGCACACGCACACGCACACGCACACGCACATGTGCGGGCCCAGGCTGCTCGGCTTCCCGTTGTCCCCCCTTTAGCAGTCTGTCCCACAAGCATAGCCATTTGTCTAGGGGGTGCTGACTCCCCACCCGGAGGCCAGACTGAACCTCGGGCCACTGTGTCTCACAAAACAAATCCAAAGCGGCTGCCCACACTTCACTCTGAGATTCCAGTGAAAGGAGCCTGCACGCCGGGGAACTCGTACCACCCATGGGCACCCTGCACCGCCATCACCCTGCCCTGCCTGGGTACCCCGCACCCCCATCACACTGCCCTGCCTGGGCACCCCGCACCCTCATCACCTGCCCTGCCTGGGCACCCCACACTGCCTTCACTCTGCCCTGCCTGGGCCCACACCGTCATCACCCTGCCCTGCTGTGCCAGAGCCCAGCAGCCTCCCCAGGTCCCCATCACCCTCCCAGCCCTGCACCCGGAGGTCTCTTCCAGGCCCTGCGACACTGCTTCCCTTCCCCAGGCATGCCAGGTGCACTGGGCCTGCAGGTTTGCCCGGCACAGGCAGTCAGTAGGGATTTCCAAGTTCCTGCCGGAGCCATGAAGCAGGCACAGGCTGCCCTCCATACCAGCCAAGAGCCAGTCAGCAGCCTGCAGCACTCGGACTGTTCCCCCAGCAGCCAGGCGCCTGCCTGTGGGAGCTGTCCTGGGCATGGGGATGGTTCAGGCTCTGCGTGTCTTGAAATGAACCAATGATGAGGCATCATGGGAGTTTGCCTAAGCTCCTTCAGGTGTCTGATCCCACTTAGCCAGCAAGGAAGACGGCCTGGGCCTGTCCCCACAGAGCAGCTGCGCCCGGGGGAAGCGAGGGCCCCTGCCTTCCCGGCGTCCCCAGCTTCTCCAGCTTCAGTGGCCAAGCCTCCCTCTCCGTACGCTCCATGCGGGGCTGTCGCCTGTCCTGCTGCGGCTTTTTAAACACTTTTCTCTAAATCAATTCCATGTGTTTACCGAAATGTATTTTTAAAGGAAATATTACCCAGGATCACAATCTCCCATCTCCAACTCTGAAGTCCAAAAAAGTCTGCAAATGAAAAGTTTTTTCTAAAATTTAAGACAAACTGACGTGAAGTCATTTGGAGTCTCTCTATTAGTGTGCCTGGCCAGAAGTATCAGTTTCCTCACAGAAATAGCAATGTATGTGCTTACTGGTGCCTCCCAGATACCGCTGAGGCTGTGAAGTTACATACTGTACAGTCACAAAGTGATCTCTCTAAAATCTAGAAAATTCTGAATTCTATAATACACCTGTCCCCAAGGGTTGGGGATAGGGGAATATGGACCTGTCATGTCATTATTAACAGAAAGTCAGTGCCATTTGCTATGAAGAGAATGCAACTTAAAAAAAAACAACAACAACATACAACTAGCTTGGCCAGTGTTGCTCAGTGGTTGGGCATCGACCCATAAACCAGGAGGTCATAGTTCAGTCCCCCATTGGGGCACATGCCTGGATTGTGGGCTCCATCCCCAGTGTGGAGCATACAGGAGGCAGCCAATCCATGATTCTCTCTCATCAATGATGTTTCTATCTCTCTCTCCCCTTCCTCTCTGAAAGCAATAAACAATATTTTAAAATAAATAACTAAATACAATTAAAACATAAGTTAAACGTTTAAGAAAAAAACTTAAAAAACAATGCTGTTATCTTATGACAGGTCCGCCGATGGCCCCTGGGCAGAAGCCTGTGGTGCCGGGGAGCAGGGCCGCCCTGCTTCCTGGTGTGGTGTGAAATGGGGTCAAGCTCCCGCTCCCTTAAGAAGCGAGGACCTACTTTGAATATCTCAGCAGGAAGGCATCTGATTGCTGATGGTTGGAAATACGGCATCAAATCCTCGTCAAGCACCCGGAGCTCTTCCTTCGTTAATCCGGCTGGGGAGAAAAGGAACCACAGGATTTGCTTCACGACTGCGGAGCACAACTTGTTTTATGAATGATGCTGCAGGAGGTGTATGTCCCTCCTTCAGAAGGCCCTGGAGGCCCCTGGGAACTCTGTCCTAATCAACGCGGGAAAACAGCGGGGGTCGTGTTAGCCCGATGGGTCTCCTACGATGAAATGGACACTGAGAGGTGCATTTTGAGATCCGGTGTAAACCTATTCAGCAGTCCATTCCATCACGCTCTAAACCACTTTGGGTGCACACAACTGCTGAGAGAGCTTGTTCAAAGGGCAGATTTGCAACCCCACCCTCTGCACCTTCATGCGCTGACATCCAGGTTTTACTGGAACTGTACAGATGTCCGGGACTCTTTTCCTGTCCCCAGGTCTAAGGTCAGAAAAAGAGAAGGGCACGGTCAAGGTGACTCTTACCGGCAATAGTTCCGAGTTCCTGCAAGACAGAGCTGGACCACTTGGTGGGATCCCCAAACACAACTTCTGCCTTCCTCTTGAACTCGGCCAAGACAGGGGTGCTGCAGAGCAGGGTCCCTATTCTGGCCATCACCACCCTGGTTAAGAGGGAGGGACATAGCTTGAGCCAAAAAAGGTGTCAGCTTGGCACCGGAAAAGGACCCAGCTAACCCCATTGGTGCCCAGAAGCGTGGCCAAGCATCAGAAGCGGAGGATCTTGCTGACGGAACGACCCATCCATCCTTGGCCTGTTGCACACTATAATTTGGTTACCTGAATTCTGAGATCTTTATAAGGGAGATTTCGGTGACGTTCATGGCACACAGGGTTGTACCGAGTCCTACTAAGTGGTAGCTCTTCAGATCCTGGATGCCGTAGCCTGAGTCCTCCAGGAAGCCGTGCAGGATGGATGTGGCCTACGGAAATGAAGAGGGCTAGGGGAGGAGCTCCCAGGGATGACCAAGCGGTCTGAGGGGGCAACTCAGCAGCCTCCTGATGGACCCCCCACCTACTCCTTGATCCAGTGCCCATCCCAAACATGGCACCAGCTGGCCTCCGCGTCTACGCTCTGATCCACGGAGGCGTCTGAAGGCAGTGAAGTGCTTACAAACCCCACCAGCATGAAAGGAACTGCCTCCTGGCTTTGCTTCCGTCGCTCATAACCTTCAGAAAGCTTGGACACTGAAGTTCTGAATCAGGATCCACACTTTTCCCGTATCTGTTCCCACGGCTTTCTGACAAAACCTGACCCTCGTCTGCCTTGGGCCTGTGCTCAGATCAGTCCTTCCATCTGAAATGCCATTCCTCATTCCCACTAGTAAAAATTCAACCATCCTTTTATTTGGGGGGTTCAAGTCCAATGCCATCTTCTCCTTTGAAGCCTTCCCTCACTATCTGAGCTAGAATGAATTTTTCTTTCTCTCAGGTCCTACTTAACTTGCCCTCATTCCTCAGCTCCAGAGAGCAGCACATCAAATGCTGTGGTGTTGGAAAAACACAGGATCTCTTCAATGAACTTTCTTGTAAGGGGGCTGATGTGCAGGGTCCCTGAAGTTCTACACAGTGGCCATCCACTGTTTACGACCCTTCTGGAGGGCAATTCCATGGCCTGCTCCTGACCAGTTAAGGCATCTCTTAACTGGACTGCACTAATTGGTTCTAAATGAGACATGTGATCCAGGCAAAACCTACCAGGACTTTAGCTGGCATAATTAGGAGAGGAAAGCTTTCTTTGCTCTGGACTGGACCTGGGAAGGAGAAACATCTAATCTGAATCTACTATAAACACCTGAATCTACTAGAACTCACCACACAGAACGAGCCTGCCTCTAATGAAGCCAACCAAACGAGAATCTGGGTAAAAAAATGGCGGGAGCCTGGCCGGCATGGCTCAGTGGTTGAGCATTGACCTATGAGCCAAGAGGTCATGGTTCGATTTCAGGTCACAGCATACGCCCGTGTTGTGGGCTCAGTCCCCAGTGTGGGGCATGCAGAAGACAGCCAATGAATGGCTCTTCTCTCATCATTGATGTTTCTGTCTTTCTCTCTCTCCCCGCTTCTCTCTGAGATCAATAATTTTTTTTTAATGGTGGGAGACAGAATCCTAATAATAGTGTGGAAGTCTAGCCATACAGGAACTCTATACTTGAACTTTTCAGTTATGGGAATCAATAAATTCCTTTTCTTGCTCAAGCCACTTTGAGTTGGGTTTCCTGCCACTTGTAACAAAATGAGCCCTGATATGTATTTGATCTGCCTACACCGGCCCTGAAGAAGGATCCGGGTCAATCTGCTGGAGAAGAGCTGCATAAGAAAGTCTGGTCCCTCCGTGCTCGGGGTTGGGGGGGGGGGGCAAAGATACAAGAGAACGAGAGCTCACAGGGCCAAGTGGGAGGAGACAGCCAAGGACACACGCCTCCTGAGTGGGTGTGAGGATCACAGGGACACTGAACTTCCATGTTCCTTTAGCATCAGTCCATCCCCATCCTACCAGGAGATCCAGACAGCGTTGAAAGTTTGCGCAATGATTGGGATGTTTTAAAAAAGTGACTTGTAGTGACGGAATTCCAGTTTCCATGTGGCTGTTGCTTTCCCATTTCTCTGGTTTAAATGCTACCTCTTCAGAGAAGCCGCCTGGATCCCCCTCTCAACTAGCCTCCCTCCTTGCTATTTCTATGAGCATTTTGTCCACTTGATGTTTCTCACTTATCACAATTTTTTCAATTTTCCACCTTAATTACTCACTTTTTTTTGTCTGAATCACCAAGTAGAACCAATAAAGATACATACCTTAGCCAGCTAGTTCACTACTGTATCCCCAGCACCCAACACAATGCGTGGGCTCAGTGGAGAACGAGAGTGAAGGGCGGCTGAACGGTGAGCTATGGAAGCGGGTAGGCAATGTGCACTCCTGGGAAATGGCATCCGATGCTGCCTCCACGTGGTGGATTGGCTTCAGGGAGATTTCCCATGTTTCCACAGGAAGTTGCCCCCAGGATCACCAAGCTCACAGTTCCATGGGGGACTTCAGTGACTCCACACGCACAATGCAGTGTGTTTGCCTGGCATTTATATGCACCCAAAATACTAGCTGATAATACTGAATGCTACTGTGTGCCAGCACATCACATATCCCACCTCCCTAATCATCACAACCACCCCACGAAGTAAGCGTGAATATTACCCCTATTTCACAGATGAGGAAACTGAGGCACAGAGAGATTGGGTAACTGAGCCCAGGTTACACAGCTAGCAAATAATGGTCCTGGGAAAAGACTCGCAGGTGGACGCCAGAGCCTGCTCTCCCGAAGACGCCAGGTCAGAGAAAAGGTAGAGATAAGCCTTCACAGCCAGGTTCACTGGTTGGCTCACAGCAATATGTGCTCCCCCAACTATCAGGCATGCCCATTTTAAAATGAAAGTGCAAAAATACAATTTAAACAAATGACTTGAAGATGTGGTATTAAATTGTCCTTGCCACTGGGAGCTGGAAAATGCATGCTCAGCCTGCCTGGTGCTGAGCTAAAACATAGTGTATCTGTAATGATCCCACCACGATTAATACTAATACTTTCAGGCAATAATAAGCACTGGAAAATGAAACCCTGTAAGCTCTGAGCTCTGCTCATTCGCCAGCTTCTAGAAGAGGTTATTTCTCCTGCTGCTGGCTTTCAGCTGAACTCGCTGTTAATGTAGTTCCACCAGGTCTACTAATCGAGGACATGCACTTAAGGGTTTGACTGACAGCTAATGGTAAGGGACTGAGCACAAATGACACAAGCAAATATTAGGTTTGCACATTTTCTTCAAACATATTGACAAATCTCACTGTGGCCCGTGGAAACTAAAATTGCTGCAGAAGGAGATACTCTAGCTTCCAAGTTGGGTATGTTTTTCTGCTTTTTCCCAGATGTGACTAGAAAGGTTTTAATATCAAAATGTGGTGTGGCACTTCTCAAACCAGTCAAAACCGGTTTGAGAGTCTCAGAACCCCAGAACTACGGAATGTCAGAGTGGAAAGAACCTGATTGCTGCGTCTAAGTTTCTCATCTTGCAAATGCGGAGACCATTCAACTGCCAGAGAGAGAGGAAGTGTAATGATGACAACGATGAAGATGCTGGTGTTGACAATGAAAACACCTAATTTTCATCGAATGCTGTGTGCCAGGCGCTGTGTGAAGTGTTTCACATGTATTAGCTCATGTAACCCTCGTGGCCAGGGCCTCCATATCACCCAGCTCCAGAGGTCACAATTCACACGTGTCCTATTTGGGGGTTGCCACTCGGCCTTAGAGTGTCCCCTGAGAGTGAGGGACACACCTTGGCTGCCTGCCCCGAATCCGTTCTCTCTTTGTTGACACCATGCCTTTGACAAACTGCTCGGTATGTATTCCCTCTTGCTGCTCTAACTACTTACCATAAATGTAATGGGTTAACACACACATGTATTCTGTCACAGTCCCTGAGGTCCTCAGTCCTGAAGTGGGTCGGAAGGCGTTTCTTCTGGAGCCTCGAGAGAAGTGCTCCCCTTGCCTCTGGCTTCCAGGGGTTGTCTACACCCTGCCTCTGCCCATCCTGCAGCCAGCAGCACACACCTCAGGTCTCTGTCCTCCACACCCATCATCACGCGCCTGTGTGTGGCCCTCCTGCCTCCTTTTAGGAGAACACGTATGATCACACAGGGCTCACTGTACAATCCAGGATAACTCCCCATCTCAAGGTCCTTAAATTAATCACCTCTGCAAAGCCCTTTGCCACACCGGGTTCTAGGGATCAGGACCCAGACACCTTTGGGGACCTGTATGAAGCCTACCATACACCAACCCCACTTTCAGTTCATATGGACATGGTGAGATGGAGCCATTCCCTGACCAGCCAGCAGACTCTACTCCTGACCACAGGCCTGTCAGGAGAGGCAGTCACATAAGTGAGTCAATGCTGGGACTTTTTCTTTTTATATCTGCTAGAGGCTCGGTGCACGAATTCATGCACAGGTGGGGTTCAGCCGGCCCACCCTGATCTGGCTGTGCTGGCCAGGGGGAGTGGCCACAGGTGGTTGGCAGGCCTGCTCCACCTCCTGGTTGAATTCCAATCAAATTCCCGGTCGAGGATACAATTTGCATATTACCCTTAAATTTATAGGACTAGTGTCCTGGTGCACAGATTTGTGCACATTGAAAAAAAATTAATTAGAAGAAATATTTTAATATTACTATTTGCCCTCTCTCTGTAAAAGAAGTGTCAACCAAATTCACTATCAACAAAGACATGCATGTGATTGGCACCAACGAAAGCTTTATATGTATCGCACAGTGTGAGTCAATTTAAGCCTTTTATAATATAGATAGAATAAACTTGCTTAATTAGACCTGCTTTCTGATTTAGCTAAACTTTTTCCCAGCCCAGAGAAGCACCCCAACTTCTCTTTCAGGTAATTGTCAGCAACACAGCAGTAAATATCAACATAGAGTAGATTATTATTATGGATCACACAGGGAGAACAAAGGGTGAAATATTTAACTGCAGCGGTATTTTACTATGTTCTGTAGAGTGAGAAAACCTGAAGTCATTTTCAAGGTCCACCATTTCTTACTTCTTTTCAGTCGGGTCAAGTTTCTAAACTTCCTAAATTTCCATTTTCCAGCTAATGAAAATAGGATTTTACTGAGTCTCCTATCTACCTACTCCAGGACTTCTGTGAGGATCAAATGAGATGAGGCACAGGAAACTTCTTCACAAACATTTGGTTAAATTGTCAAATGTTTGCACCTGGCTATAAAGCAAGTCGTGTTCTTGGGCTGAAGAAACTCCAAGGAGAATAGTTTCTAGGGAGAGGAAGCCGGGCGTTGCTATGTGATGTAATTACCCAGTGCTCATAGTGATTGTTTCCAGGCTGGGCTGGCTGTGGGCCACATTTTGCACCATGGGGTCTTGGCAGCATTGGCTGCGATTTGGTGGGGTGTCATCGAGGGTGGTTGTGGGTCTTATGTCCCACTTATGTCAGGAAGCTGAATGTTGATTTGTCGGTGCTGGGTCCATGGTGCTATTTATTTTTAAATGGCCAGTGTGTGCTATGGCAGCTCCTGCATTGAGTGTCTGCCCCCTGGTGGTCACTGTGTATCAGAGACACTTAGCCTTTTATATATAGAGATTTTTTTTATTGATTTCAGAAGGGAAGGAAGAGGGAGACATATAAACATCAAGAATGAGAGAGAATCATTGATCAGCTGCCTCCTGCACACCCCACACTGGGGATCAAGCACACAACCCAGGCATGTGCCCTTGACAGGGATCAAACCTGGGACCCTTCAGTCCTTGGGCTGACACTCTATCCACTGAGCCAAACCGACCAGGGCAATGCTAGGACTTTTTCAAAGACTGATGAGGAAGGGTAGTTTTTGTGGGTTGCTAATTAGATCATGTGTAAGCCCAGTGCTAACGATGACCCTAATAATGAGATAGCACAGAGTGGCTGCGACCCCCTCACTGGCATTACAGTGGATTAACTCCCTCCAATTGAAACAAGTTCTGGAGAGAACTTCTTAGCACATGAAGGATTAACGGACACAGGACTCGCCCTCCAACAAAAACCAAGAAGACTGAACAAGTTACATAGAAGGAATGTCTTCAGATGTTGTACAACAAGCAGCACAGGACTATAATCCTGAGAAAAGCAGAGCAACTAAAGTGACCCTTAAAACTGCCCTTGTTCACTGCCCAGAGGCGGCTGCCAGCCCATGGAGCAGGGAAGGAAACCCAAACACGCCCAGCGGTCCAGGTTAGTTGAGGATACAGAGGTTCACGTTTGCAGAGGTCGGAGCACCTATAATTGGTGAGGAAGTGCTGGCAAGGAAAGCCCTGCACAGACAGCTCACCCCAGCGATCTGCATGGAGGCCTTCTCAAGTCAGCTGAGCACTGACCTACACAGGCAGGAAGCAAAACTCCACGTAAATGTCAGGCCGAGGCATTAGAAAGCAGGAGCTGGACAATTCTCAGGGCTCATATGGAGCTGGAGAGAATCCACATCCCACCGTCCTGACGAGAGAGGCCTTGAATTACACAAAGCAGTGTTAGGCACTTTTCTCAGAACCACATCTCAGTCATGGGGATAAACTAACCACAGATTGAAGGTCACTCCACGCTCACCCTTATCAACTTCAAAAGGAAGGCCCCCAAATCAAACTGATCTGCAGATAATTTCAGTGTATTCTAGCACAAAGCCCAATATTCTTCAAAGAAGTATAACTAAATCAAGCCTCAAAATATAAAATTCACAATGCCCACCAGACAGTCAAAATTATTACGCTTACACATAAGAAAACGTGGCTCATAATTAGGAGAAAAGTTACTTAATAAAAACAGATTCAAAATGACATTGATGATGGAGTATTTAAAAGGTCCAGCCCTGGATGGGGGAGCAGAGTTTGTTGGGCACCGTCCTGTGCAGCAACATCCGCCTACCTGTCCTGGGGTCCATCCTGACTGCTGGCTTAGGGAAGCCACGGTGTCGATGGAGCTGAGGTCTAGCTGCTCCAGCTCACTCTCATTAAGAGCCAAAGCAATGCGGCCCAGTGAGACGATGTGGTGTTCTTTCCAGTTAGAAGGTGTGTCCCAGACCTTCAGAGGGAAGAAAGCTTAGACTGAGCTTTACTGACAGTATGTAAAACAGACATAGGGTAAACCTCTTTAATATTTAAACTTTTTTATGAATCATTAAGAAAAAGATGATTATATTTTGTTTTTTAAATAGGCAAAAGATATGAACAGAAAATCCCTAAAAGAATAAATAAACATATGGGGGAAATTATTAAAATGTACATTAACAACAATCAAAGAACACCACGTTGGCCGATGGTACTGATAAGGAGTAAAAAGAATGAGCACTTATTGGTGCTGGAAAGATATGGGGTAAAAGATAGCCTCATTTGTTGATGTTGAGAATATAAATTGGTACAGGCTTCTTAAAGGAAAAATTGGCTTCTACACTAATAAAAAAGAAACATTCAAATTGGCAGTACCTCCGCTATGCCCACCAGCCAATCAGGAGCAAGTGTGCAAATTAACTCAACAAAGATGGTGGTGGCCATGGAGCTGGAGCAAGCAGGAAGCTTGGGTTGCCCCCAGTGATGGAGGAGGCCAAGCTTCCCACCCGCCCTGGCTGATCCTGGCCTGTGCTCAAGGCTACAAAGTTTCAATTATAGAAGATAAATAAATCCCAGATATCTGCTTCCAGTTAGCCCTGGCCTCCACTCAAGGAGGCACTGAAAAAAAAAAAGAAAAGAAAAGAAAAAAAGAAGGGGCTGGGAGCCTGGATCATGGGAGGGGAGGGGCATAGGCAACTGAAAACAGCCCTCAGCTCCTCGTCCAGGCTGGCCACACTCCCATGGGGTGAGGGTCCCATTAAGGGGCTTGACCAGCCTGAAAACGGCCTTTAGCCCCTCACCCAGGCTGCCCCACGCCCCAAGGGAACCCCCACCCTGATCCAGCCCCGACCCGTGCACCAGGCCTCTATCTATACTGATAAAAGGGTAATATGCTAATTAGACTGGAAGACCTTCCAGGAGACCTTCTGAATGTTCTTCTGGACAAAGCCATGGTGGCGGGGCTGAAGTAGAGGCGGTTATGGGCCAAGAGGGGAGGGCAGCTGTGGGTAATCAGGCTGGTGGGGGGCGGGGCCGTTGGGGTAAGCAGACCAGCAGGGGGGCTAGTTGGGGGCAAGCAGGCCAGTAGGGAGGGAAGCTGGGGGCGAGCACATCAGCAGGAGGGGCAGTTGGGGGTTATTAGGCTGGGGAGGGGCATTTGGAGGTGAACAGGCCAGTGGTGGGGGGCAGTTGGAGGCAAGCAGGCTGGCAGGCAGAGTGGTTAGGGGCAATCAGGCAGGCAGGCAGGCAGGTGAGCAGTTAGGATCCAGCAGTCCTGGATTGCGAGAGGGATGTCCGACTGACAGTTTAGGCCTGATCCCTATAAACCAGCAGTAGGACATCCTTCAAGGATCCCAGATTGGAGAGGGTGCAGGCCAGGCAGAAGGATACCCCCCATCATGCACAAATTTCATGCAGTGGGCCACTAGTCCTATATAATAAAAGGCTAATATGCAAATCAACCAAACCGTGGAATGATGGTTGCTATGATGCACACTGACCACCAGGGGGCAGGTGCTCAATGCAGGAGCTGCCCTGGTGGTGAGGGTGCTCCCACAGGAGTGCCGCTCAGACACAAACCAGGCTCATGGCTGGCGAGCGCAGCGGCGGCAGCAGTCTCTCGGGCCTCTGCCACATCGTTAAGGATGTCCGACTGACATGCCCTGAGGGCTCTCAGACTGCAAGAGGGTGCAGGCAGGCTGAGGGACCCCCTCCCTAGTGCATGAATGTCGTGCACCGGGCCTCTAGTAATTATATTCTACGACTCTCCTTACAGCTGAAACAATAAAAATGGCAAACTTCTTCTGGTTCTCTTCAGCTGGGGTCTCAGGGAGGGGGATAAAGAGCACTTCCTAGAACCCATCCTGTCTAGGCCCAAACCACCCGCAGGATGGGTTCACCCACAGATGGGACTCACCTACAGGATGGGTTCACCGTATATGGGGTTCACCCCCAGAAGGGGTTTACACAGATGGGGTTCGCCCTCAGGATGGGTTCACCCATGGATGGGTTTATCCGTGGATGAGGTTCACCCAGGAATGGGGTTCACCTGCAGATGGGGTTTATATAGTCGGGGTGCACCTGCAGATAGGGTTTACCCACAGGATGAGGTCCACCTACAAATGGGGTTCATGTGCGGATGGGTTCACCAGCAGATAGGGTTCACCTACAGAATAAGATTCACCTGCAGAATGTGATTTGCCCACAGAATGGGGTTCACCCACAGTGGGGCTCACCCACAGTTGGGGTTCACCCACACATGGGGTTCACGCAGCGCCCCTTGGATGGTCTTTGTGCAGCCTAGGGAGGAAACGGAGGTGCAGAGGGGAGGCCTGGATACTTCCCGCAGTGAAATTGCAACCAGAAAACAGGGGAGCGCTCTTCGCTGGCTCTGGCTCGGTGGCAGACGGGCTGGCTGTGGTGTGGGTGTTCCTCCTGCTAGCCATCCCGCCCCCGCCACCCCGTGCACTTCACCTGGATCGCCTTCTCCTTCAGGGCGGTCAGCTGAGGCCGGAGGAAGCCCCCAACGGCCCCCAGAAGCTCCACGCTCCTGAGGAATGTGGCTTCCTCCAGGCAGCGCAGATTCTGGGGGGCCCAGCAGGCATTGGCTTCAGCCAGCTTGAAGATGTCATCGGAAGAGGGGACCTCAACTCCATGGCAACCTGAAATGGAGCGGGGGGGGGGGGGGGGGGGGGGGGAGGAGAGCAGCTCAGGAAATGTGTTTCCGTGTTGACGTGAGTGATGCTCCTGTCGGCTTCACCCCCGAGAGGCAGTGAACAGAGAACTGACAGCAGGACCCGGGGCAGCTTGAGCCCCACTTCTTATCACCTGGTAACATCGTGAGCGTGCCAGTGTTTCACACGGCCACCTCACCCAGTAGGAGCTTTGCAACATCACAGCGAGACTGCAAACTGCCTTGAGGGCAGCAGGAGCTGCCCGTGAAGATCCTGGCTGCAAACTCAAATCCAAAGCTCTAACCCTCCGTGCGTGTGTGCTGCCTGGACAAGCGGGAACCCCTGGTCGGACTTCTGTGAGGACTACGTGGCGTCACCCATGAAGCACATGGTGTCAGGGAGGCAGTGAGCACTCTCACACTTTCTATTGTTTACACCACCTGCCACCCACCCCACCCATTTGAGTTTGAAACCCGGAGTTGAGGGTTTCAGGTTTATGAGAAAGGACCTCTCCTAAGAGTGGGAGGGGGGTGACTTGCCCTCCATAAAATCATGGGGGTGGGCCTTCCCTCCCAGGCAAGAGGAGCCGTGGCAGGAGAGCCGCCCAGCTCACTCTGAGCAGCTGGAACTCACCTGGTGAGCCAGTGCCCACCTCAGCGCGGAGGTGAGAGATTGCCTTTGGGGCCCAGAGGTGGCAACCAGGGAGAACACCCACAGTTCCTGTCTTAAAAGCGACCCTGGATGCTGATGCTGACAAGCCTCCAGCACCAGCCTCGCCCAGCGCTTCCCAAGCCTGTGCCACTCCGGCCTCACAAATTCACTGGATTTCAATCAAGGAGTGTGACTGGACCAGGTCAAGGGCCCGGTGCGAGGCCCTCAGACATCATTATCATAACCCACGTGGAGGGGACAGAGACTCGTCCCTCCTAGATGCCCTCTCCGTCTCCAGGGACAACAGGCCCAGGCGGCAGTGTGGACCGGAGGACCAGAGTGGCTGAGCAGGGAACCGTCCGGCTGCTGCGTTCCCGGGCACAGGGCCCGTGCCCAGCGTACGTTTGTGGAATTTCAGCACACAGGTCAGCTGAAATGAAGCTGAGCAGGACTCCTGCTAAGCCCTCAGCGGCTGTAAGCACAGCGGTGACTAACCCTGAGGCACCGCTGGCAGCTCAGACCCCGCACTAGGCGAGCCCTCCCGCGTGTGCACAGACAAGGAGTGCTGCACCTGGCCTCTGGCTGCAAGGCTCTGAGCTCCCCCGAATGGGGGGGACACCCAAGAGCTGCCACTTACTAACAGACTGTGGCCCCGTCTCTTCGTCTCTCTGACCCTCCAGTTCCTTGGCTGGGAAAGTGGGGGAGATCACGGTGCCCAGCCCTCAGGGCGGGAGGATGAGACAGCCAAGGAGTGGAGGCCACCGGAACACAAATCAGGTCAGAATGTCCCGCTGGACACCCGGGAGCCCCTTCCCAGGGACGCCCAGGGCTCAGGCCTCTTGCCAAGGCCTGAGGGCAGGCCGGTGTCACCCCACCCCCTCACCCATCCTTCTGCCTCGAAGACTCTAAATCTAAATGTCCACAGGTCCCTCCCCACCGCCTCAGGTCTTTACTAGAGTGTCAGGTTCTCACTGAAATATCCCTTTTCAAATCACAGCCCCACCCATACTCCCTGACCCTCCCCTTGCTTTATTTTCCTTCATGCACTTAGCTCACTCAGCATGCTACTGCATCATTTATTGTCTGCTACCCCAAAACATTTGAACGTGAAGTCAATAAAAATGCATTTTTTTAAAAATAAAAACACTTAACACTCCCTGAGCATTTCCTACACGCCAGGCTGTATGGGAACATGTTAGAGGTTAAATCCACTAGTCCTCACACAGTATGTCGAACTGTGGCCCGCAGGCTGCATAATGAACGAGGCATGCGGCCCGCCGGCCACAGTTTGACAAGCTTGCATAGCCTATTCAGGTAGGAACTTCTGCCGTTTCAGAGGATGAACACGGGGGCACAGAGAGGTTAAAAAGCTAACCCAGACCACACACTCAGCACGCGGCCGACCAGCGTTCAAACCCACCCAGCCTGGCCCCAGCCCTGCAAACAGCCGCTCAGTCACTGGGGCCCATTAAGCCAACCGTTGTGAAATGCTGTGTCCACCAGTAACTGCCGGCCTGGGTCAGGCACGCAGCTGCCCTTCAAGTCACCATACAAAGGGGCCGTTGGTGTGTGGATTCTTGCCACCCTGTTGCTTTGCAACCATTTCGCCAGTCCCCCAGAGAGGAGGCCTCTTGATGCCAGCAACTCCGCCGAAACACTCGTGCCCTGGCACCGGCTCAGGTGCCCCGTTCACTCACCAGGGCTGGGGTCAGAGCCAGAGCCCCTCTCGCTGCTGTTCCGAACAGATTCAAAGACAGCCCAGAGGAATTCTTTGGGGGGCAAAATCCCCACCATCTTGGAGGCTGTTTGTTGAAGGATATCAGGAAACTGTGTGGGGTAGAATAGAGGAATGAGGAGAAGTAATAAAGCACAGTAAACACACATCGAAAGCAGCCTTACACTATACCAGGACTTGCTGGCTCAGGTTTTCCTTCCTTCTTAGCAGCTTTTCACATAAATTTAATCCCTAGCCCAACCAACCTGGTTTCTACAAAGGGTCATATAAAACAATACTCAACCTCCACATAATTCAACTGATGTTCAACAATGAAAGCACACGCCCTTTACATAAACTGGCATATGTGTATGCACATGGCACTGGTGCATGTAAGACCTGGAACAAGCATGCGTGTGGGAAGAGCAGGGCTAGAGGCATGTGGAAGGGTGGAGCTCAGGCAGCGGTGGCCTCACTCCCGTCCTGCCCTTGGCCTCCTGGGGTGAAGCTGCCAACATTGAGCCCTTCAGGGCAGGGGAAGTTCCAGAAAACAAACCGGCAGCACCCCGTGGAGGGTGTCGGAGCACAGTCTCCCCTCCAGACCCCTCCCGCCTTCTCACAAGAGGACACACGGGTACCTTTGTGGCAACAGAGCTTAATTCATCTTCTGAGAAAAACACTAAAAAGGGTCCCAAGTCCTTCGTCGTCTCGGCTGTCCAGTTCTGAGGGGGTCTAAGAAGAGAGAAAAAGCAATAAATCAGACGCCGTGCTGTTGTCCTTGTCCCGGCATCCTTTCTTACAGAAACAGACTATCCTCATGTGTGGAAAGACTGCCAACCACATGGTCCCACTTGCCTGGCCAAGCTGCTGTGCATACAGGCTGACCAATCAGAATCATCCCTAGGAATTCTGAAGGAACTGCTAAAGAGGCTCTCTCACTCTGGGGGGTGGGGGGAGGCATGTATGGGCATGGGGGGGGGGGCAATGGAAAGATATGTACACATATAATACCTTAATAAAAATAAATAATAAATAAAGAAAGAAAGAAAGAAGCGCTCTCTCTCTCTCTCTCTCTCTCTCTCTCTCTCTCTCTCTCTCTTTCTCTCTCCTGGTATCCAGTGTAGTAAAAAAAGATATTGGAGGCCCTTCCTGTCACCAGTGGTGACAATATGTCCACACCCAAGAACACAGAGCTGAGTGTAAGAGAAAAATTCCTAGGATACCATTTGAGCTCCTGGATCCAACCATGCCTGGAGTCCATCCCTGCAGTTTCCATTACATTCAATTTCTGAACTCAGCAACCCATTTAGCTTGAATTGAATTGTTAAATTTCAGTCATTTCCTTTCTCGCCCTCTTCAATAGAAGAGTAATGATCTATGTGTTTCTTTAAATTGTCGTAAGAGTCTTCCCTTATAACGAGACAAAATATCCTCTTGAATACTGACCGGATACTGACAGCACTAACATAGAATTTACTGTTGTTCTTACAGAGACCACAAATGTCTTCAGAGAAGTGCCTCACACCACATTCAGTGGCATTTCTGAAGGGGGGCTGCCCAGGTAGTAGTGATAACCCCTCTCTTAGGCCTAGGCAAGCCAACTCTGGCCAAACCCCCCCCCCCATCTCTTTGATTGAAAATATTATCCCAGCCCTAGCTGGTTTGGCTCAGTGGATAGAGCATTGGCCCACGGACTAAAGGGTCCTGGGTTTGATTCCAGTCAAGGGCACGTACTTGGATTGCAGGCTCAATCCTCGGCCCTGGTCAGAAGCAAGTGCGGAGGCAACCAATCAATGTGTTTCTCTCTCTCAATCTCTCCACCTCCCATTCTATCCAAAATTCAATGGAAAAATATCCTCCGGTGAGGATTCACAATATGTGTGTGTGTATATATATACTGTGTGTGTGTGTGTGTGTGTGTGTGTGTGTGTGTATATATATATATATATATATATATATATATATATATGCCTAAACTGCTAAATATCTGACCATTCATTCAATCATTCAACCAGTTTCTATGATGCGCAGTGACCACCAGGGGGCAGACGCTCTGACCTGTAGGTGAGCTTGCTGCTGGGGTCTAACAATCAGGACTGGGCGAGATGGGCCGGGCACACCCTGGAGCCAACCTCCCTCGGTCCCTCCCCGCCTCTAAAATATTTCTTCTAATTAATTTCCTTTCAATGTGCACAAATTCGTGCACCCAGCCTCTAACACTCTAATGTATATATGTAACCTCACTAGGCCTGAGCTCCAGGAGGACAGGAACCACACCCATCTCAAACTGCTGCGTCTGTGGCTCTAAGAGGAGCACAGTTGCCACATAGTCCAGTGGACTGGGCACTGTGGTAACACTGTGTTTGCATTAACTCAGTTCATCCTATGGGACTATCACTGTCCCCATTCTACAGATGAGAAAATAACCTGCAAAGAAATTTGGTAACTTTTCCCAGGTCACACGGGCAGTAGATGATAGAAACAAAATTTTAACCCAAGAAAATTTTGCTCCCAACTCCATATTCGTAACTCTTTATAATAGTACAGTGCCTGGGATACAGCCATTTCTTCAAAAACATTTGTTGTCTAACCATTGACCCTACTAGGCCCTACTCAACTATCTGAGCAAACTATCTGTCAGAAAATTCTACAGGGGAAAAACAGTTCATTTTCCCAGGGAACCCACGCTCACTGAGAGTGACAACACCTCGGTTATTTATATCATCACCGTTGCCATTATTATTATGTCATGACAACAACGCTTCCCCTTTCCGTATGCCAAGATGTGTGGGGACAGCCATGTGAGGCCTGAAAGCAGCTACCATGGTTCTCACTTTCCAGGGAGTCTGAGGCCGAAGAAGAAGGCCGGTTTGCAGAATGAATGCAAGCATCGAGCCTCATCCTAGGCAGGAGACTGTCTGAGGGCAGGAGGCCAGGGCTTGTGCCCCTTGGCCGGACAGGCCCACCTGGAGCTGCGCCCGGCCTGCTCACCCGTGCTGCTCCAGCAGCCGCAGCCTCACCGCAGCCCCCTGCTCGGGGCTCAGCTCTGCGCAGGCTCTGAGGCCGTGCAGGGCAGTGGCCCAGGCCCTGGGGGACACTCCGTGCTTGATGATGGCCGCTGGCAAGTGGCAGAGCAGGTTCCCCACGATGTCCACGGTGTACTCATCGGCAATGGAGTTGTTCTGAAACCGACACGTGGCGCATGGCAGGACCAGCGGGGCCCAACATGGTGACCCTTTAAAATCACTTCCCATCCCCAAACCTCAGAAAACCCTGCATCTTCCCACCCGCCCTGCCATGGACCAATACATGGCCCGGCCTGACCTCACCCCGGGAAGACCTGAGGGACCTCTGGGGAGACCCCACGGGAGCCAGTGTGGACAGAGGCCTGGCACGTGGTGAGGGGGTGGATGAGGGCTGGCTTCGTTGCCATTGCCTGAGGAGCCCGTGAGCTGGGACCATTGTGACAACAGCACATGAACAAGAAAAGCAGTGCCAAGTGCGTGCAGCCCTGAAGGTCTTCAGAGTGCTTTCTCAACATGACAGCTGAGCTAGCGGTTACCGAGCGCTTGCTCTGCGGCCATGCTGGGTGTTTGCAGGTCTTGGTCCACATTCATCTCCAGAGTAACTGTAACTGCTAATAACACCCCGTTAAAGATGTCAGCAAGGCCGGGTCCCACTGAACAGCACCTCATCTATCCCAGGCCCTCGACAACTCTGCACAGGAAGTGCTCAGCCACGTGCAGATAGGGACTGGGGCTCAGGGAGGGAAGGTGACTCTCCCACAGCCCATAGACGGCCACCAGCAGAGGCGTGTCCACAGCCCAGACACTGTGCTGGGCTCTTCCTGGCCCCTGAATGGTCTGCCCTCCTTCGGGCCCCAAAACAGCAGTCTCCAGCACCGGGGACAAGACTGCCCCACAGCGGCTTCAGAGCCAGCTTCAGACCACCCACATCCGGCTGAGGTCCCAGCCAGATGGCCAGGGCTCCCGGGGGCCCTGGGGTGAGGGGGGGGGCGAGGGACATCAGTGAAAGTGTCGCCCAGAAAGGCTCCTTACCAGGCACTGCTGCACTTTCCTGAGGACCAGAGTCCTTTTGTGGGGATCTAACACCAAGGAGTCCAACCGAATCTTCCCCAGGCCAATCAGAAGGGGCACACATCTGGAGGCTGGCATGGATGCCAGGTAGTGAGCCCTGGAGTGAGGTGGGAACCAAGGGCAGGAAGACAGTGACTGCTCTGGATTGCCCTGGGGGCCAGGGTCTGCATGCCCAAGAGCTTCTCACAGGAGATTCTTTAATGCGTGTTCTCCCAGTGATGTGGCTCCTTTGGGCAGGTTGCAAGCCTCCCACCCAGGTGCATCTCTTCTATGGATGGGAACCAAACTCCCATCATGCTCCTCCCCTAGGGATGGGAACCAAACTCCCATCATGCTCCTCCCCTAGGAGTGGGAACCAAACTCCCATCATGCTCCTCCCCTAGGGATGGGAACCAAAGTTCCTATCATGCCTCTCTTCTAGGGATGGGAACCAAACCCCCCATAGCGCCCCTCTTCTAGGGAAGGAAAAATTTCCCCATCAAGCTCCTCTCCTACAAGTGGGAACTAAACTTCCCATACTGCCCCTCTTCTAGGGATGGGAACCAAACTCCCCATCCTGCTCCTCTTCTACAGGTGGGAATCAAATTTCCTATCATGCTGCTTTTCTAAGGATGGGGTTCAAAATTCCCATCATGCTCTTCTGCTATGAATGGGACAAAACTCCCCATCATGTTCCTCTAATACTGGTGTGAACCAAACTCCCCATCATGCCCCTCTTCTTGGTATGAGAACCAAACTCCCCATCCTGTTCCTCTCCTATGAATGGGAACCAAACTTCCCATCATGATCCCCTACTAGGGATGGGTACCAAATATCCCATCATGCTTCTCTTCTAGGGATGGGAACCAAACTTCCTATCATGCTCCTCTCCTATTGGCAGAAACCAAACTCCCCATCATGCTCCTCTTCTATGCTCTAGCAGCATTGATCTCAGAATAGTATCTCCATAAACATATGTTGACTGATGACCAGTAGAGGAGAAATGAGGAGAAAATGAAAAGATAAAGTAGAAAAAGGAAAGGACAAAGAGGAAAGAGAAGAAAATAGAAAGTGAGAAAAAAATGTGAGGAGAGGGTGAAAAGAGCAAGAAAAATGATTCCCAATTCCATCGTCTCCAGCCAGAATTGCCCCCTCAGCTCTTACTGTGTCCTCAGCAGGCGCAATATCACCCCAGGGCAGAGAATGTTCAGGGCAGGAGGGGAGGGAGGGAAGCTAATGTTACTACAATGATCTGTGACTCACCAAGCTCAGCCCTACGCAACAAAGTTATTCTTCACCATTTCTCTCACTGGGGAGAAATTAAAATGTTCGGGAGGCAACAATGAAATAAAGGTTAAAAAAGACTGTTCTACACCCAGGTGCCCTAACTCATCGCCACGTGACTCTTTAAAAACTCAATTTGACAGTCTTCCTCTATGCCACCCCAGACTCCTTTTCCCCTTTATCCCAATGTCACTGCGCTCTCCTTAATATTACTCAAATCTCCCTTCTCTCTCCACTCCCAGTTCCATTTATTTCTTCATTCACTCACTCACTCGGCAGATATCTGCAGAGCATCTGCTGTGTGTCAGGCACCGTGCTGGCGGCCAGCGACACCGTGAACAGGACACGAGGGGAGGCCCCTGCTCGCAGGATGCTTCGTTGTAAGGGGGAGGCCCTGCCCGCAGCGGGAAAGACAGGTAATTTCAGCGGCTGGCCATGTGAGGAGGAAAGTGAATAGTCCGGAATGGAGAGTGCTGGTGGGAAAGCTGGAGGGCCGGTGGAAGGAGACAGGCAGCTCAGGCCCAGTTACAGACAAGATTCCACACGCCCCCCGTCCTGCTGAGGCCCCGCTTTCTGCCACGGGGCAGCAGGGATGGCCTTTCTGAAACAAATCTGAGAGCTGTGCCCAGAACACAGTGAACCCGCAGGGCCCCACAGAGCACTCCCTGGTCTGACAGTCCCTACCTCTCTGGCCTTCTCTCTGACACCGACTCTGCAGATCACATCCCGTGTTCCCCAGGGCTCTTCCCTGCATGTATCCCTGCTGGGTGGCACGCCTGGCCCCTGCCTGGAGTGTCCCTCTTACACTCATTAACCCACCTCATTCTTCAAGCTCTGACTTCCTGTCTGAAGAAAAGACTAGTATTCCCTCCGCTGCTCCAGTGTCCATTCCCCATTCCCACCTGGCTTTCCCAAAGAATCACCCCTTCACTGTAAGACCGTGTGCTTTGGGGGTCCCATCCACTCTCAGCTCCAGCCACGTTATCCATCCTTCCAAACCCGGGTCAAGAAGAGCAAATTGGCCCAATGTAGGCCCATGACAGTCCAGCCCAAGTCTTATTGGAAAGGATGAGAAGAGAATGTCTTTCTCTTCCCCAAACATGAAACTAGGAAGGTGTAACTTTGGATCTGCCAGGGACCACCACAGAGAGATACTGTCTAACAGAGAAGCCTACAGAGGAAAGCAAGGCTAAGAGGCAGATGACATAATTTTAGCCCCTGGATCTAGCCATGCCTGAAATCCATCTCTGGACATGCCAGCTACCTAAATACAAAATTGCCTTTTATTGCCTAAGCCAATTTGAATTAAGACTCTATCACTTTTAACTAAATATCAACTTGATACTATAATTGGTTTCATGCTTAACTGTCTTTCCCCTATGAGCTTGTAAGCTCTTTATGGGGAAATTTTAGTTATTTCTAAGAGCTAGTACATAGTAAGCATTCAATAAATGTTTTTGAATGATTGAAGACAATAACAGCAAGAGGAGAAAAGCAGAAACTGTGTCCAGACCATGTTTTGAAAGTAGGACTGCCCCCAGGCCTGAGTGTCCACACATACCAGGCAAAGCCCCTCAGATCACCCAGCCCTGCCTCCTGGAGCGTGGGCACAGAGCGAGGCCACCAGGCCGGACCTGCTTCCTGGTCCTAGGCTGCTTTGGCTTTGGTTTTTAAATAACAAGAAAAAGCAAGGATCTGAAATATCTGTGGGCCCAGAATTTACGCCCTATGCCTTGAGGGCGTCACTGACCAGGGACGCTCCACTCCGTCTCTGGCTCCTCACAAATCCCCCAGGGGGAGGAGCACTTGGTTTGGGTGGGCCCCCAATCCTATGGCCTAGCCAGGAAGGGGCCCATGCTCACTCACGGGAGCGCAGCCAAGAGGAAAGGCTGCATGAAGGACCTGGAAACCTCCCACGCTTTCCACGCCAAACAATTGACCTGAAAGATCGAAAAAGTGATAGCATTTAGTGAAATGATAAGGGCACTGCTCTAAGCCCTTCACAGATGTGTCTTGTTTACAGAACACCCCAGGGTGTAGGGATCACCATTGTGCCAGTTTGTGCATGAGGAAACTGAGGCAATAGCTTAAAGATGAACACAAAACTAAGTCTAAGAATGCTCCCCACGGTTTTGTTTATAATGGCAAAAAAGGAAGATTCGCCGTCATGGCCCTCGGTGGGGGCTGCCTGGTTAGGTAAATTATGGGATAGCAGAATACTGCACAATTACCTGTTTCCGCAGGTAAATTTGCATATATTAATATGCAATGATGTCCATGCCCTAATTTATATATATATAATGTGTTGTATATAAAGTTAAGGAGAACAGTGTACACAGTATGAGTTTGCTTGTACTTTTTAAGTTGCAGGTAAGTGTGTTTTATACACACCCCACCATCAGAGTCAGGAGACAGTGTTCCCTGCAGTTGCCCATGGAGCAGTCTTGCCACAGCCCTGCTGGCCTCAGGAGGGCATCCACGAGCTAGGTGCTGGCATGAGGAGAAGGGAGAGGGGGTAAGGAGGGGCAGCAGGCGGGGGTGGGGGGGGAGGGGGGTTCCCATGTGCTGGATGCTGCCCTCTGCGCTCAGTGTGTGAAGCTGCGGCCCTGGCCCCCACACACACGAAGCCAGGAGCACCTCCCTCAAGTGTGACAACAGAATTTCTGGGGACCACTGTTCCAGGGAAATTTTACTTTCTTGCTATTTCTTATATGATAATTACGTGTTTTTAGCAAAAAATATAAAGAAAAAAGGCCACTTTTCTGAGGAAGCAGTATGTGCAGGTGGAAGAACAGGAGCGTCTGGGAGAGGAGTTGGGGGGCTCTGCTCCAGGCGGCTGGCCTCCCCCACCTCCGCCTCCGCCTCCGCCGGGGGACATTCCCACCGGGGAGCGGAGCGGTGAGGAGGCAGCCCATAGGGTCCCCCAGAGAAAGCCGGCAACCTGTATTCCTGACAGCTTTATTGAACTACCATTGTATGCTAAGAGCCACAGTGTGTTTGAAGTGTACATCGATGCGTTTGGACGTATGCAAATACCCGCGAAGCCATGACCTCAGTCAAGGCCCAAGACATGCCCAGCACCGAAGTGTTTGTGTGTGAGAAGACATGTCACCGGGGACCTCGAAGGTGTCAGTGAAAAGAAAAGACCCTAAAGCAGCTCTGTCCTGGCCACGCTGGCTGGGCGAGCATGTGGCTGACGGGGTGGCCTTCGGTCTCAGGATGTGGTTGTGAGTGGACACTGCGCCTCCCGGGCGCGCCTTAAGGCTCAGAGCCGAGTGAGAACTGACCGCCCTGTGAAAGCTCCGGCTTTGGAGGCGGGCATGCGGAGCATCTAAGAAAGAACTGGAGCCCGTTCGGCGTGGCTCATGGCTAAGCATTGACCTATGAACCAGGAGTCACTTTCGATTCCCTGACTGGCACCTGCCCGGGTGTGAGCTCCATTCCCAATAGGGGGTCGTGCAGGAGGCATCGAGCAGATTCTCTCATCACTGATGTTTCTATCGCCCTCTCCCTTCCTCTCTGACATCAATAAAAACATACTTTTTAAAAAACGAAAGAAACTGGGGAAAGCCGGACTCGGTATTTGGGCCCACACCATCATTTGCACCAGAATATTGCCGGCATCACTATCTTCAGAGCCAGTCAATGCAGGGTCAGCTCCCGGCTAGAAAGTGAGAAGCAGAAGCAGAAAGGTACCTGATAGGGTGAAAGCAGAGAGAGGTTGTTCTCAAAATACTGGAAGAGGGCCAGGAAGGAGTCGGCGCTCATGGCGTCGATGTGGGAGCACGCCACGCCCTTGACCAGCTGCCCGGCACTGGAGAAAGACAGGGGCAGGGAGAGCGGTTGGGTGAGACGGGAGGAGGAGGAGGAGAGAAGGCAGAGCCCACGTGGCATGGGCTACAGAGGACCTGCCCAGCTCTCCCAGGCTCCGAAGAGCTAGCAAGCTGCGCTCCCTACCTCAGGAGCTCGGCGGGCCCGCTGGTCTGGGACAGCAGCTCAAACAGGAACAAGGCCTGAGGGGAGGGAACAATGCCAGCTTGGCGGGGGGAGGGGGGGGACGGGGGGGGGGGGGACATTCACCCCACAAGCACGTGCTGGGCCCAGCACCGGGAAGCCCAGTGGGGAAGGCACACACGACCCATTTTACAGATGGGAAGACAGAGGCTTCCCAGGCTGACTCGCCCAGGAGCACACAGTTGCTAAGTGGCAGGGCTGGGAGGGGAGGGGTGGCGGGCCGCTCCCACACCAGGCCGCCCCGAGCAGGGAGGAGGGAGAGCCGCTGCAGGGAGCGGGGCTGCCGCCCTCTGCCTCTGTGCTGCCCGGCCGGCCTGGTAGTTCCTGGACACAGGAGGCCCAGGGAGCAGAAGCGGCAAGCCACTATGTCATCAGAAGGTGGGACTTTCAGGCCGACCCCTGCCCTCCAGGGATGGAGGGAGCTAGAAGCTCAATGGTGGGGCTGGTGAAGGGCAGGGGCGGGGGGGGGGGGGGGGGGGGGCGCTGGATGCAGGGAAGCTCCGCCCCTCCCCCACGCTCTGCTCCCGCCTCTCTCCCACGGCTGTTCCCGTCACATCCTTCCCTAAAAACCAGTGACCCAAAGAATGGAGGGCTGCTCTGCGTTCTGGGAGCTGCTCCAGCAGTTTAACCAACCCCACGGAGGGTCACCGGAGCCCCAGCCTACGGGCAGGCAGGCGGCAGCACCCGTGCCCTGGGCAGCGCCTGGGGCAGCACGGAACAGTCTGAGACTGAGCCTTCCCGGGTTGCCTTCGGGCAGCTAGTGTGGAATGGAGGTCATCTCCTTGGAGGACCTCCCAAGCCAGCGCTGGGAAGGCCTCGCCGGTGGGGTTCGCTGGCGTGGGGACTCCTCATCCGCCCTGTCCGGTCTCAGCAGTCATACCTGACTCCTCCGAAATGCCTTCTCCTTCAGGACAGTGGAGTTGAGTCCAAGTTCCCTCCTCAAGTCAAAGAGGGACACTTCCTTAAAGAGGGCCCCTGGCACTTCCATCACACCCGGGGCGCCAGCTCCCGCTCCGGTCACCTGCAGAGCGAGAGGGCACTGACGGACAGCCGCGTGGGAGATGCCAGGCGCTGTGCCAAGTGCTTCCCCAGCTCAAAACCCATCCGGGGTCACTACCCCCATTGTACAGCTAAGAGAACTGAGGCTTAATGAGTAATTGGTTGATAGTGAGGTTCATGTCTGTTTTATTTCAAAACCTTCGCTCTTTATTTTGCCACAACCAGTTTGGCTCAGTGGATAGAGCGTCCGTCTGCGGACTGAAGGGTCCCAGGTTCGATTCCGGTCAACGACATGTACCTTGGTTGCGGGCACATCCCCGGTGGGGGGTGTGCAAGAGGCAGCTGGTCGATGTTTCTCTCTCATCAGCGTTTCTAGCTCTCTGTCTCTCTCCCTTCCTCTCTGTAAAAAAATCAAAACCTTCGCTCTTTATTTTAAGCATCAGTGGCCCTGCTGCTGCAGGGGTTGTTGTCGGGGGCAGATGTCTTGTGTTTGGTCTCTAAGAGATTCTGCAATCGGAAAAGGCAAGTCTGAGAGAAGAGGGTGCCCCCAAGGCCCCTGCCGAGTGAGGAAGAGGAGCTGCTGTGACTGTGAACCCAGAAGGGTTTTCGGAAGCACCCCGGGAACTTCAGACTCACGTTGAGGTTGGAAAATCAACGTATAAATGTTCTTATATCAGGAAACCTAGTTTAAGAAGAGTCCTCCAGGTGTGAGGGGCTAGGAGAGCAGTGGGGCCTGGGAAGAAGTACAAAGAGCCAGGTGCTCTCTGGAGGGAGGGAAGGCGGCAGGAAGAAGCCTTCTCCAGGCTCGACCCCCTCCCCAGAGGAACCCCTCCCCAGAGGAACCCCTCCCCTAAGGAATCCCTCCCCAGAGGAACCCTCCCCGGAGGCTGGGCTAACCCCGCCCACTCACAAACTCCAAAGCCACAGGCTGTGGGCACGCGCTGGGCACCCGCGGGACTGCCCCTCACCTTGCTGAGGATGCCTTGCTGCTGGGCCGGCGACAGAGCAGACACAGGCAGGGAGCTTCTCAGGACCTGCGCCAGCGCCCTGGGCTCCATGTCTGAGAAGGCCTGGGCGCCGACGCCCGCCAGCAGCACGCCCATCTGGCTGACGCTGTGGAAGGACAGCACCTGGGGGACCGGCGAGAGGGGCGAAGCTTTGTGAAGGCCTTTGCCTGCAGGGCACTGGCCAGGCCCACTGCGTGCCGGGCGGCAGGGCGGGCACCGGGAGGCGGGTATGCTGCCCCCAGACCTTCCTTCCTCTCTCAGGAAAGAGAGTAAATGTCAGAATCGGACGGAGCAGTACCAACCCCAGGGAGGTTACAGAGGGTACTCCGCTGCCTGTGGACACAGCCAAGAAGCAGGCCCGAGAGCCACCCTGGCCGCCAAGGGCTGCTCTGACGAGTATGTTTCGTCTGAACTAGCTGGCATTTAACATGTGGGGACTTCCAACAAAAATCCAGGTGAGTCTATGGCTTTTTAAAATATGGGCCCACACGGCAACAATGGGCAGGAACGGACCAGCCGCTGCCCCGGCGGGCCCAGGCTCTCAGGGACCAGCCTGGCCCCTCGGTGTGGAGGCCACCCATGCTCTCACCCTGTCCCCCGCATGCAGCTGGCAGGGCCAAGCCCGCCTCAGTTACCTCCAGGCAGAAACTCCCCTGGAATAAAGACATGCTTCAGTCCCGGCAGCATCGGTCTCCGGACTGAAGGGTGCCGGGCATAAGCCCTGGTTGTGGGCTCAATCCCAATAGGGGGCGTGCAGGAGGCAGCCGATCAATGATTCTCACTCATCATTGATGTCTCTCTCCCATGACTCTGAAGTCAATAAAAATACATTTTAAAAATAATAAAGGTACGTCTCAGGATATGAGTCTGATGCTTTGTGACAATATGTCTGTACTGGCTTCTCTCAGGTTGTACATGTTTCTGCCTCATCTGGGGTTTCCATATACGCAGGCAGATTCCGTGGCTCTACAGAGGCTGGCTGCGTGGCTTCTCTCGGCTGTGCTCCGAAGAATGGACAGTCTCTGATTCTCCCACCAAAGCAGAGCCTCTCACTCCTCCAGAGCTGGGGGACCCAGTCAGGCCCCCTCACTCCGACACCACCGCAGGGAATGCCAGGCGAGACCCCTGCCCCCAGGCAACGCCGGGAAGGGCTGCCACGCCTTCAGACTGGAGTCGCCCGAGGCTAGCAGGGACAGGGGAACGCAGCCTTGGCCTGGAGGCTGGTGAGGACGGGCGGGCAGTGGTCCTGACGCCATGCCCAGCTGTCAGCCAGGAGCTGAGCCAGCAGGCTGCGAAGCCAGGTGCCCTGGGTTCAGTCCCAGCGGGTGCCTCTCCTGCGGCCGTGGCAATGCCGTCTGTGCAGTGTGCCTCACAGGAAGGAGCTGGAGAGCCAGTCAGGACTCCGTCCACTGGGTTGTGGGGACTAAGTGATTAGCTCACCGGAGCAGAACCTGGCCCAGGGTGAGTGCTTGACAAAGGCTGTTGTTGTCACATTGGAACTGGCCCAACCGATCCTCAGGAGCCACTTTGCTTCCTGGGAAGGGCTGGCTGTGACTGAAGAGCAGGAGCCACCCTGTGCAGGGCTCACGGCTCTTTCTGCTGGGCCCGGCAGAGACTAATCCCCAAGAAAACGTCCCGTTCCCGCCCCAGGGCTATGGCGTGGGCCAGATACAGGGCCACGTGCAGGAGACTGAGCTGGGTCTGCCCTCACCCCGCTCAGCAGGACCTTCTGTGGGGACAGTCTGTGGGGACGTCTGTGGGGACGTCTGTGGGGACAGTCTGTGGGGACGTCTGTGGGGACGTCTGTGGGGACAGTCGTAGTGGGGACGTCTGTGGGGACGTCTGTGGGGACGTCTGTGGGGACAGTCGTAGTGGGGACGTCTGTGGGGACGTCTGTGGGGACAGTCGTAGTGGGGACGTCTGTGGGGACGTATGTGGGGACAGTCGTAGTGGGGACAGTCGTAGTGGGGACGTCTGTGGGGACGTCTGTGGGGACGTCTGTGGGGACGTCTGTGGGGACAGTCGTAGTGGGGACGTCTGTGGGGACGTCTGTGGGGACGTATGTGGGGACGTGTGTGGGGACAGTCTGTGGGGACAGTCGTCTGTGGGGAAGTCTGTGGGGACGTCTGTGGGGACAGTCGTCTGTGGGGGCGTCTGTGGGGACGTCTGTGGGGACAGTCTGTGAGGACAGTCTGTGGGGACGTCTGTGGGGACAGTCTGTGGGGACGTCTGTGGGGACGTCTGTGGGGACAGTCTATGGGGACGTCTGTGGCGGACAGTCTGTGGGGACAGTCTGTGGCGGACAGTCTGTGGGGACAGTCTGTGGGGACAGTCTGTAGGGACAGTCTGTGGGGACGTGTGTGGGGACAGTCTGTGGGGATAGTCGTCTGTGGGGAAGTCTGTGGGGACGTCTGTGGGGACAGTCTGTGGGGACGTCTGTGGGGACAGTCTATGGGGACGTCTGTGGCGGACAGTCTGTGGGGACAGTCTATGGGGACGTTTGTGGCGGACAGTCTATGGGGACGTCTGTGGGGACAGTCTATGGGGACGTCTGTGGGGACAGTCTGTGGGGACGTCTGTGGGGACAGTCTGTGGGGACGTGTGTGGGGACAGTCTGTGGGGATAGTCGTCTGTGGGGAAGTCTGTGGGGACGTCTGTGGGGACAGTCTGTGGGGACGTCTGTGGGGACAGTCTATGGGGACGTCTGTGGCGGACAGTCTGTGGGGACGTCTGTGGGGACAGTCTGTGGGGACGTCTGTGGCGGACAGTCTGTGGGGACGTCTGTGGCGGACAGTCTGTGGGGACGTCTGTGGGGACAGTCTATGGGGACGTCTGTGGCGGACAGTCTGTGGGGACGTCTGTGGGGACAGTCTATGGGGACGTCTGTGGCGGACAGTCTGTGGGGACGTCTGTGGGGACAGTCTGTGGGGACGTCTGTGGGGACAGTCTATGGGGACGTCTGTGGCGGACAGTCTGTGGGGACGTCTGTGGCGGACAGTCTGTGGGGACGTCTGTGGGGACAGTCTGTGGGGACGTCTGTGGCGGACAGTCTGTGGGGACGTCTGTGGCGGACAGTCTGTGGGGACGTCTGTGGGGACAGTCTATGGGGACGTCTGTGGCGGACAGTCTGTGGGGACGTCTGTGGGGACAGTCTATGGGGACGTCTGTGGCGGACAGTCTGTGGCGGACAGTCTGTGGGGACAGTCTGTGGCGGGGGGACAGTCGTCTGTGGGGACAGTCTGTGGCGGACAGTCTGTGGGGACAGTCTGTGGGGACAGTCTATGGGGACGTCTGTGGCGGACAGTCTGTGGCGGACAGTCTGTGGGGACAGTCTGTGGCGGGGGGACAGTCGTCTGTGGGGACAGTCTGTGGCGGACAGTCTGTGGGGACAGTCTGTGGGGACAGTCTATGGGGACGTCTGTGGCGGACAGTCTGTGGGGACAGTCTATGGGGACGTCTGTGGCGGACAGTCTGTGGCGGACAGTCTGTGGGGACAGTCTGTGGCGGGGGGACAGTCGTCTGTGGGGACAGTCTGTGGCGGACAGTCTGTGGGGACAGTCTGTGGGGACAGTCTGTGGCGGGGGGACAGTCGTCTGTGGGGACAGTCTGTGGCGGACAGTCTGTGGGGACAGTCGTCTGTGGGAACAGTCTATGGGGACGTCTGTGGCGGACAGTCTGGGGGGACAGTCTGTGGGGACAGTCTGTGGGGACGTCTGTGGGGACAGTGTGTGGGGACGTCTGTGGGGACAGTCGTCTGTGGGAACAGTCTATGGGGACGTCTGTGGCGGACAGTCTGTGGGGACAGTCTGTGGGGACAGTCTGTGGGGACGTCTGTGGGGACTGTCTGTGGGGACGTCTGTGGGGACAGTTGGGGGGACAGTCTGTGGGGACAGTCTGTGGGGACAGTCTGTGGGAACAGTCTGTGGGGACGTCTGTGGGAACAGTCTGTGGGGACATCTGTGGGGACAGTCTGTGGGGACGTCTGTGGGGACAGTCTGTGGGGACGTCTGTGGGGACAGTCTGTGGGGACGTCTGTGGGGACAGTCTGTGGGGACAGTCTATGGGGACGTCTGTGGCGGATAGTCTGTGGGGACGTCTGTGGGGACAGTCTGTGGGGACATCTGTGGGGACGTCTGTGGGGATGTCTGTGGGGACGTCTGTGGGGACGTCTGTGGGGACAGTTTGTGGGGACGTATGTGGGGGCGTCTGTGGGGACAGTCTGTGGGGATGTCTGTGGGGACAGACTGGAAAGGAAGAGCACTATCTCTGATGTGGGACGAGCGGTGTGTTCGCAGCCTCAACAACCAGCAAGGATGTCCTGGGGTGACTCTTGAGCTTTGCTCAACGAGGTCTCACACCCCCAGCGACACGCGGGCCCCCGGGTGTCCCCACTCTGCCACGGGGTGTCCCCACTCTTCCTGGGTACTGACTGCGTAAGCCATGCAGCTGCCTATGGAATAGATGTGACTGGTACCCATCTATGTTACAAATAGGGAAACTGAGGCAAGGGGGAGTTAAGTCAATTATCCAAGGTAGACAATGTCCACCTAGCAAATGGAAGGACAGGATTTGAACCGAGGAGTCCTCCTCAGCTGTCCGCCGTGTACACAGAGCTGGCCCTTGGGTGCCGGACATTGAAAGGAGGTCAGAGCCCTGGCCAGTGGCTCAGTGATTAGAGCATCGGCCTGCACGCGGAAGGGTGGATAATTCCATTCCCAGTCCAGGGCATGTACCTGGGTTGCAGAGTCATGCCCCACCCTTGGGGGCGAATATGAGAGGCAGCCAATCAATGTGTCTCCTCACCCGAATGTCTACTCACTCTCCCCTTCTTTCCCTCTCTTCCACTCTCTGCAAAGCAATGGAAAACATGTCCTCGGTGAGGATTAACAGCAACAAAAAGAGTTCAGCCTGGCTGGTGTGGCTCAGTGGTTAAGAGTCAACCTATGAACCAGAAGGTTATGGTTTGATTGTAGCACGTGCCTGGGTTGTGGGCTTGATGCCCAGTGGGGGGCATGGAAGAGGCAGCCAATCAGTGATTCTCTGTCATCACTGATGTTGCTATCTCTCCCTCTCCCTTCCTCAATAAAAATATCTTTTTCAAGAGTTCAGAGTTCCCACTGACCTTCTCATGGGCCAAGTACTTGGCGGACAAGATGACCACCTGGCTCTTGGTCCAGCCCGACACCTGGCTGAGGGTGGAGATGGCGCTGTCCACAGCCTGGGGGGACAGGGACTCCAGCTGGCGGTGGGTCAAGCCCACAATTGCGTCCGACAAAGAGCCCAGGGTTTCGTTGAGCGCCTGGTTCTCCGTGGCAATGCCCAGGAGGCGGGCTTTGAGCTGGCAGGGGAGAAGCTGCAGTGAGAGTCGACAGCAAGTAGGACAGGAGTGCCCCCTGGCTGCGTCCTGGCGTGACCGCTCCACGCCGCCTCCAGCACCCGCCTCCCCAGGGGTCGGACTCCTGCTAGGCCCGACAGCCAGTCACCCAATGAGAACACCGCCTCCTCCGGCCTTGACCTTGTGCTTCATTTAAATACTAATTTGTCTCTAAATGAGCCTGAAAGCATGGCAGGACCCCCCTGTCCACCTCACCCACAGTGCCAGCCGCTCTCACAGCATCTGTTTCCTGTGTGACCTTGAACTCTACAGCTGTACGCATGGCTGTCTTCCTTTCCTGAAGCACCCAGGGGTTTTATGATGATGTGCAATCTATATGGGAGTAATTCCCAGTGGTAACACAAAGTAAGCCTCCTGAAAATCCTGCCTCACACAAATAACTATCGGCTGCTAAGACCTCTATGCCTTTAGAAATAAACAATAGTACATATTTTTACATAATTGGCATACGAACAGAAGTGTACTTTTCTACATTTTTCACTTAAAATAATATCTTACAAAACCTCACGCTTCTGTGACCACCTGGACAATTACTTTATTATGTCTGTCTAGCGCTAGTTAAGTGTGTTTCCCAATTGTTCCCATGTCACCACTTGTAACATGACCTCTGCACAAGAGGAAAAAAGCAAGCACGGCTCATGTTCTAACACCTGAATTTGTATGAAGAACCTATGTATTCACTTGACATGTGTGTGCCTGTGTTCCAGGCCGTCCTGAAATGGCCACTGGGGGGCAACAGAGAGAAGTGAAAGAAATAGCTGTCCCGGCTCCTGTTCCCCAGCCGCCGCCTGCCTCCCTGCCTTCCTGCCTTCCTGCCTTCGCTGGCGCTCCGCGTCCACATCTGCCAGCGAGGGCACCAGACAGCGTGGCTCACTGGCGGGTGGTCTTTGGGCAGCAGCTCGCCACCTGAGCACCGTTAGATGGCAGTCAGCTCCACGGGGGCCTCAGAAGCTACCCTTACCGTCCCTGGTGACTGCACCTCTAAGCTTGGGGTGGCCACTCGGAGGGTTTTGATCTAAACAAACTTTTCCTAGTTTTGTGTCGCTCCTTCCCACGTTAAGCTCCTGTGTTTGAGACCCCTTCCACTCTGGCTGGATCCAGGTCCCGGAAGGCCGGGCAAGACTCCCCACTGCTCTGGCCAGTAAGACTGAGGCCCAGCCCGGGGCTGTGCGTCCCGTGTGCACCTTCTGGACGCGAGCCTGGAAGCCCCGGAGGCGGCTGCACTTGATCATCTGGTGGAGGAGGACTCGGGCCAGGGTGGCGTCCAGCAGCTCCAGGTCTCCATAGAAGCAGACGAGCAGCCCCAGCCTGCGTGAGAGGAGAAGGCTGACACCGGGCGCAGGGCCTGTGCCCGCCCAGCAGGGGAGCCGGGCTTGGAGCCCTGGGCTGTCAGCTCTCCTCCTGGGGGAGGGGCCTGAGGAGCCCGCGCAGTTGGCTACAGGAGCGCCCCTTTCCATGCGAGACAGGCCGCTGCCCGTCAGGGGTTCTCTGGGGTCAGACTCATGCCCAGGGTGCTTACATACTACCCTCTGGGTGACAATGACTTTTTTCAAAAGGAGAGGAAACCAAGAGACAGATAAGTGTCGGCAGCAGCGGGCTGTGACCCTGGCCCCACTGGGAGCACTGCCCCAGGGGTGAAGGGCACAGCCCAGGCCGGGACTCGGCAGGCTACCTGACCTCTCTGCAAGGTGCTGCCGCAGTCCATCTGCGCAGGCGCCCGGCCGGGGCTTTGGAAGGGGAGGTTTGCTGTGTCAGCGAGCACATCGTAGTACGTGTGAAGGGTGTGGGGCTGGGGCACTGAGCGTGAGGCTAGGCATGCTGACGGTCAGCACACTTCCTGGCGGGGACGGAGCACACGTTCAGTCCTGGCTGCTCTTAGCGCTCCATGCTGTCTTCTGGGCGTGGCGTGCTGCCCGCCTGCCTGGCCATGCTGCACCTGGCCCCGCCCTCCCAGGCACGGCCATGCTCAGGCATGTCCACAGGAGAGGGTCTGACATTGTGTCTACTGAGGAAGGTGACGGGGAGGCGAAGGCCGATGGGAATGAGCACTGAGAATAACAGACTTTCCTGAGCACATAACTGCGTGTCCCGTGTGGTCCCTCAGTTCGGGATGGGGGAAGTGAAGGGGGGGGCCCGGCAGGCAGGCTCCCTTACTCAGGCAGAGTAAGGGAGCGGGGCATGAACACGCCGAAACCACTCGGCTTGTAAGTCACAGAGCCAGGATCAAATCAGGAGGCCTGGTTCAGGTCCCACTAGCTCTCCTTTGTGCAGCCATAGAAACACGAGACCCTGGCTGCTGGTGAGAATTTCTAGGGATGGAGGAGGAAGGGGTAACACTTTATGTAACACCATTCTCACAGGTGAGTTTGGAAAACTTTAAGGTGATGTTGGAAGAGACAGCAAGGCCCTGGAGATCCCCCGACTGCATGCCCTCCTCCTCCCCAGCACTCGGACTCTTCCTGAGCACGGCTCCTGCTGGGAATGGCTCCTGGAGGATCCCATTACAACCCCTAAATTCTACAGCCGACCTGGCTCTAACATGCCGCTGAGAGTCTCGAGAACAAGGGTTCACAAGTATGGGGGCCCAGGAACGGTGTCCAGCACTCCACCCAGCCCGCTGGCAATTGCACCTTTACCTCGGGATGGACAGCAAGCCGCGAGTTAAACCCTGAGCTTGACAAAGTTGCATAAATGCCTGGCAACCAGGAGACCCCAGAAAGCCTCTGTCCCCCCTCAGGCCTTGGAGAATATCTTGGAGGCCCCAGACTATTCACGGACTAGCCATTCCGCTTCCCTTCCCTCGCTTTGCTCCTCAGAGGAACCTGGCGCTTAGAGTGCTTGCATCTCGGGCAAAAGCTCCGAGGGCCCTGCCTGTGGACGGTAGAGGCGTTCCTCATGTCGAAGTCCGAGGAGCCGATCCGCTCCAGGAAAGCCTGGGCCAGCTCTGGCGTGATGTCATAGACGGTGTCCAGCTGCTTGGTGGCATTGTCATAGCTGATGAACAGCCCCATCTGGTGGACAAGCACAGAAAGGTCAGGCAGGGGCGGACGTGGCCGGGGGCCATCCCAGACACAGGGTGCCGGGCCCGCCCCCGTGGGCGTCGGGGCCCCTGGCTGCTGGGTGCCTCCAGCCTCAGAAAGCCCCACTGTATTAAAGAAGCATTATTTTTCATATCCATGAAGCTGAACTTTTTAAAGCTAATATTTGCACATTTACTTCCAGGCTTGTTATATTAAGGTTAGAGAAGGTAGATGAGTGAGTTTATAAGTGGCCTCAGGCAATTAAAAACTTGTGTTCTTTGTAAGATTAAGAAGTGAACTGGAACAGAATCTGAGTAGCATATCTTCCTATTCCTGCTCACTTTTTGCCTGCGTCCAAGGCTGTCCCATTAACGCCCGTTTCAATGCACTGCTTTCTGAGCTTAAAAGCCTCAGACAGCTGTCCTCCCTCGGAGACTGCCCTGTGCCCGCTTTCCCGCCCTCCCACCCTCCCAGATGAAGAAGAAAAGGTGCATGTGGCCTCCTGATCCTCTCATGCCCCCGCCCAGCTCCCTCGGAATCTCACTGCCTTTATCCGGACTCAGCCTGGGAGGGCAAAGGGTGACAGCGTCGAAGACATTCAGCACCGCCCGCCTCCCAGGTCAAAGGGTCTCACAACAGCCAGGCCCTGTGGGTCGGTGGGCCCTTGGACAAGCCTGTCGCCTGATGCAAACTCCGCTCACGGGCCAGGGACGATGGGTCACTCGGGGCGGAAGCAGAGTGAGCCACCCCTCTTATCCCACCCACCCCCAACGCCTCGGGCTGGCGGCGTGCTCTGGGGGCTGCGGGGTGGCTGGTCAGCCGCAGGAGAGGACCAGCTGGCCACGAGTTAAGTTCCTCGGGACAGCTCAAGGCTACACCTCCACGTTGCCCTCCACTTGGGCTCATGCCTCCTGGCCAGAAACGCTATGTCCCATGGCCTTTCTCGAGGACAAAAATACTCAAGTGACTTTTGGTTCACAGACAACCCCCTGTCACGTCGGCTCGTGCAGGAGCTGTCTCCATGGCCACGGCTGCCCTTTCTCGGCTCAGCTCCACGGCGCTAGGACATTGTGGGGGCTGACCGCGGGAGGCCCTCCCCTGGGTTTCCTTAGAGCCCCAGCTGCCCCAGCTGGTCAGTGTCCAGTGCCCAGGGCACCCAGGGAGTTAGCAAGGGGGACAGTGAGCGTGCCTCCCGACTTACTTCCATAGGACTAATGTTCATGATTTCTTCAAGGGGGAGGTGGACCATGTATCTCCCCAAAATCCGTAAGTTTTCTGCGCTGACCCAGGAAGCAGACCCATCTGCAAGCAAATAAATCAATGGGTCAGGGAGCGCATGCGTGAACAGAAGCCGTGAGCTGGGGTGGGACCTGAAGGCAGGCCCTCCTTCCTGCATTCGTTCACGGACAGCACGCTGCCCCCGGACGCACGCCTCACTGGGCAGCGCAGATGCCGCCAGCGGGGCTTGGTTACTCAGCAGTGTGCTCTCCCGGCTGCACCAGCAGCATCGGGAGCTGTTAGAGATGCAGATCATTGGTTAGACCTCAGACCACAGTACAGCTTTATGTTAGCTCACTTCTTTACTAAGTAACCTGGCAACTTCAGATATAGCTGACTCTTCATTACTAACTACCGTTATCATCCTTGTTGGTTATCACCAAACTCTGCTTGCGTGGGCCTTCCTGTGAGCTAGAATGCCTTTCACCTAACCAGGGGTGGGGAACCCTTTTTTCTGCCCAGTGCCATGTTGATATTTATAACATCATTCAAGTGCCATACAAAATTATCACCTTAAAAATGAGCCTGCTATATTTAGTCAAACATTTAATTAACTCACCCCTAATGCCTTGGCAGGGCCAGACCACATGATTTCGATGGACTTACATAGCCAGCGGGCCGGACATTCCCCACCCCTGATACCCTTCTGCTTCCAAATCCTACCTCCCAGACTGAGCTCAAACATTTCCTCTGCCCGCAAGCCGACCTCGTTCCCCAGCTGGCGGCACTCTCTCTCTCCCCTGAACTCCCCGAGGGCTCGGTCACTCTGTTTGAATTCCCCATCACTGGGATGTCAACAGAACTTGAAGAACCATCATGTGAAGAAAAGGGACCTTCGTGCACCGTGAACGGGAGTGCAGGTTGGTGCAGCCACCATGGAAAACAGTATGGAGGGGCCTCAAAAACACAAAACACAACGACCTTCTGACCCAGCAATCCCACTCTAGGGTGTTTATCTGAAGGAAATGAAAACACTCATTTGAAAAGATATCTGCACCCCAGCATTATTTACAATAGCCAAGACAGGGGGGCAGCCTAAGTGTCCATCAGTAGATGAATGGATAAAGAAGTGGTACGTATCTACAATGGATTACTACTCAGCTATAATAAAGAATAAAATCTTAGAAACCATCAACAAAACAACAAGAAGCCCACTGCATGGGAGAACATATTTGCCAATGCTATTTAAGATAAGGGTTTAATCTCCAAAATTTACAGAGAACTTATACAACTTAACAAAAGGAAGATAAACTATCTAATAAAAAATGGGCAAAGGACCTAAATAGACACTTTCCAAAAGAGGACATACAGAAGGTCAAGAGACATATGAAACTGCTCAAAGTCACTAATCATCCAAGAGATACAAATCAAAACAACAATGCGCTACCACCTCACACCTGTCAGAATGCTTATCATCAACAAATCAACAAATGACAAGTGCTGGCGAGGATGTGGAGAAAAAGGAACCCTCGTGCACTGCTGGTGGGAATGCAGACTGGTGCAGCCACTGTGGAGAACAGTATGGAGTTTCCTCAAAAAACTAAAAAATGGAACTCCCAGTTGACCCAGTAATCTCACTTCTAGGAATATATCCTAAGAAACTAGAAACACCAGTCAGAAAGAATGTATGCACCCCTATGTTCATAGCAGCACAATTCACCATAGCTAAGATTTGGAAACAGCCTAAGTGCCCATCAGGAGAGGAGTGAGATCATGTGATATTTATCTTGGACTGGCTTATTTTGCTTAGCATAATGCTCTCCAGGTCCATCAATGATTAAGTGGATTAAAAAACTGTGGTACATCTACACAATGGAAAAAAGAAGGGACTCTTACCATTCACAACAGCATGGGTGGACCTGGAGAGCATTATGCTAAGCAAAATAAGCCAGTCGAAGATAAATATCACATGATCTCACTCATATATGGGATATAATGATCAACATAAACTGATGAACAAAAATAGATCCAGAGACAAGGGGCGGGGAGAGGGGGAAGAGGGAGGAGGGGGGAGATAGAGATCAACCAAAGGACTTGTATGCATGAATAATAGTGTAACCAATGGACACAGACACTGGGGTGGTGGGGGCCTAACCTTGGGGGTGGGAGTGGGGGTGTGTCAACCGGGGAAAAGGAGACATATGTAATACTTTAAACAATAAAAAAAGAATATCATCTTGTCCCAGCTGGTGTTGCTCAATGGTTAGAGCGCCCACTTGCACAACAAAGGGTCTAAGGTTCCATTCCTATTTAAGGGCACAGACCTGGGTTGCGGGTTCGACCCCCGGCCCCAGTTAGGAATCCATGAGGAGACAACCATACAGTGTGTCTCTTTTACATCTCGCTCTTTCTTTCTCTCCTTTTCTCTTTCCTCTCTCTCCTTCCCTACCCTCCCTCCCTCTCTTCTATTGTCTCTAAAAATCAATGGAAAGAAATATCCTCAAATGACGTTTAACCCCAAGAACATTTGTTTTAATTTGTGACCACATGGATGGATCTAGAGGGCATCTGCTAAGTGAAATGTCAGAGAGAGAAAGATTAATGCATGTGATCTCACATGTGGAATCGAAGGAACAAAATAAATGAACAAACAAAACTGAAGCCAAGTCATGAAGAGACTGATGGCTGCCATAGGGGACAGGGCTGGGGCGTGTGAGGGGATTAGCAGTACCGGCTGGAAGTTACGAAGTGGTCACGGGATGCACAGTGCAGCACAGGATACGGTCAATAGCACTGCATGGCCATGTGCGGAGCCGGGGTGCTAGCCTTGCTGGAGGGACCACTTCATAGGGTGTAACTGTCTGATCGCTGTGATACATCTGACACTAATTAATAGTGTGTGTCAACTCTGACTGAAAAAATGTAAATATGTTTTTATTGATTTAGAGAGAGGAAGGAAGACGGGGAGAGAGATGGAAACATCAGTGATGAGAATCACTGACCTGCTGCCTCCTGCACGTCTCCTACTGGGGATAGAGCCTGCAACCCGAGCATGTGCCCTGACCGGGAATCCAGCCATGGCCCGGTTCCAGGGCCGATGCTCAACCACTGAGCTGGGCAGATTGAGAAGTTTTTAATTTTTCAAAGAGCAGTTATGCCCAGGATCCAGTTTCAAGTTTTCCTAGCTAGAACTGGCCCCATGCTCCAATCTTCCCGTAAAAGACTTTTATAAACAGCAACATTCATTGTTGGCATTTGGGGAAAAAGGAGGCAGGGAGCTTTGGGGGTGCAGTGAGTCATCAGCAGGAGCAACGATGGCAGCCCTGCTGGGGGCTGAGTCATGTGAGCAACAGGGTGACCCCAACAGGAAGCAGAGCTTTGAGGTGAGCACAGGATCCCCTAGATGGGGACTCGGGACATTTGACTTGGTAATTAGCAGAGTGGCTCCAGCAGGATAGAGAATTGGGGGAGGGGGATCCCCACACTTCAATCCCACAGGCTCCCTCTGTCCCTGCGGCTCCCCATCCCCACTTGGCAGGGGAGGGTCACACATTTGGATCAGCTGAAATGCTAGGTCTCCCCGATTCCCTGGCCCAAGGCCTGCAGACCACAGCCCAGCCCCGTTCTTACACTTTTCAATCGTTGAAAGAAAAATCAAAATGAAAGAATATATTGTGAGCATGAAATTCAAGTTTCAGTGTCCATCAATAAGGCTTAGGGACACAGCCAGGCCTGTTCATCTCCTGCCTGTGCCTGCTTTCGCTGTAACACCAGAGTTGAACCCTGGAGGCACAAAGTCTAAACTATTTCCTGCCTTTTCGCACAGAGTGTGTGCTGGCCTGGCGGGCTCTCCACCCCTCCGCCCAGTGAAGGCTGTCTGCTTCCTCTGTGCCAGGTGGCCGGCAGACGGGGGCTTTCTGAAAGCATTCAAAGGCTCGTCCTGTGTGCACACTAGCATTACGCACGCTGAAGCTACCGAAGGAATTGTTGGCAATGCTCTTCCACAGGGCGTTCTTTTTCTGTATCGTTCGTTCCCACTGTGGTCAAATGCACCCCATAAACCTTCCGTCTGACCGTCCTGGTGCCTTCAGCATGCCCGCTGCCATGGGCCCTCCTGCCTCCACCTCAGAACTCCCTCATCTGGCAAAGCCGGGCCTCTGCTCCCTAAAAGCGAGCTCCCTGCCCCCAGCCACACCACCAGCATGCTACTTCCTGTCTCTAGGAGCTGGACTCTGTGCCCCCAGAGGGACATGGCAGGCTTTTGATAAACATTTCCCAAATAAATGGATCCTCACCTATCTCTGCTCTGGTTGCCAAGAAGCTTAGGACTAAACTCCAGTGCTTTATTTCCTAGATTGTGTTTTATTTTTTTAAATATATTATTTTTTTATTTCAAAGAGGAAGGGAGAGAGAATCATTGACCGGCAGCCTACTGCACGCCCCCTACTGGAGATCGAGCCCACAACCGGGGCATGTGCCCTGAGCGTGGATCCAACCGTGACCTCCTGGTTCATAGGTTGATGTTCAACCACTGAGCCACGCCGGACAAGCTAGGTTTTATTTTTAAAGGTTACCCTGTGCCACTACAACACGGGTTTTGAACCTGCGACCTCACCCTAAAGGCTCTCTCTCCTCACGTCCAGGAGGCCACCCGCCATCCCACCATCTGGGAGACCTGGACGCGGCCTTACTTCAGGCTGCGCACAGGAAAAGCGCGCTCACGAAGCAGGTTCATGTCTTATTCCCCGAGCCTCACAAACTCTCCTGCCAGTCTGGGGAGGGGCGGGTAAAATCCCAAGTGGCACAGAATGGAAGCCCGCGCTCAGAGACCGGCCTTTTCTGAGGATGGCGGCCCCGGGCGGTGCCCGCACGCAGGCTCACCGGGGGCGCCGGACGCCCGCAGCACGCCGGCCATCCAGGAGTAGAGGGCTCCCTGGGAACGGGCCGGGGTTTGGTCGTAGAGGTCTTTGAACACCGCGGACCTAAAGGCACAAGAAGGGCAACAGGTGAGGCTGCTCTGAGGGACAGCGGCTCACGCCCAGCCCCACCCCCTCCGTGTGGGAAACCTCCTGCTCCCTTGATAAGTTCTTGATTGAAATTATAACTCACACAGCATACCATTTCCCATTTAAAGTGTACAGTCTGGTGGTGTTCAGTGTAACCACAGAGTTGTACAACCAGTGCCACCTCATGGAGAACCCCCATGCCCTCACCTTCCAGCACCCCCACTCCTACAGACCCCACATGTACTTCCTGTCTGGCTTTGCCTCCTCCGGACATGTCAGATAATGAACTCAGACGAGGCCTTGTCCCTGAGACTGGCTTCTTCCATTCGGCGTCATGCTGCCAAGGTTCATGCATGTTAGCACTTCATTCCTTTCATGGCCAGGTAACGCTCCGCTGTGCGGCAGCCCCATCTCCTCACCGCCCCCCGGGGGCCTGAGGCTCGCCTGTCTGTGACGGCCGTGCTGCTGCCGCCATTGCTGTGCAGGGTGTGCGTGGACACACGCTTTCATTTCTCTTGGATGACGCCCGGATGGACGTGGCTGGGTTAGGTGGCAGCCCTGCATTTGGCCTTTTGAGAAAAGCCCGGACTGTTTTCCGAAGTGCCTGCCCGTTTTACGTTCCACCAGCAGCGTGTGTGGCCCTGGCTGCTCTGCGTCCTCCCGCACCTGTCACCGCCAGGCGCTGCTCCAGACCCGCTGGGTGCACAGTGGCCGGTCCTGTTAGCCGCTGGAACCTGGTGTCCCCCCACCCTGCTCCTGAGGCCCACGTCACCGTCCCCTCCTTGCAGTCCCATTTGGCCAAAGACAGTGACCCCTGACAGCAAGGTGCAGCTTCCCCGGGGTCCCCTGCCCCCACCCACCTACTGAACCAACTCCCCAGACTGTCCCCAGCCTTTCCCAGCTTACTTTCCCCGGCCACTGTCCTAGTCACGTCAAGGTGAGCAAGCAACTGTCCCTTAAGTCCACCTTAACATCTGCTTCCGGTGGTTTGGTCTTCACTGGCTTCTGCTGTTGGTTTTGTTGTTCTTCCAGGCACACGGGTTCGGGAAGTGGTGAGCCTCATGAAACCTCACCCATCGGTCCCTGCAGTCCGACCTGGGGCTCATCTCTTCGTGCCTCAGGCTCCTCATCTGGACAACGAGGAGGGAACAAAGGCCTCCGCCTCACAAGAAGGGGGTGACGGGGCAGAGCAGGAAAAGGACAATATGGGCAGGAGTCAGGCAGGCCTCACGGCGCCCCCACCGTGGGTGCATCTTCTTGTTGGGCCTCGGATTCTCTGTCCATAGAAGAAGAGGCTGTTAGCTGACCCAGAAGCACGTCTTCAGGGGTGTGGGGGCACATTCGGACCCCTACTCGCGCTGAGAACGGGATGTTAGATCAGCATTATTCCGTTGTCTTTCTGTCCACGAGATCCGCAACCTTTCCCCACTCTTATTCGGGGCCCACAGAGAGGTTTTGCAGTAGCCATCTACACCCCTCTTTCTCATAAAGCACCTCCATTGCTCCTGGAGAAACATTTCTCCCATTCCTGGTTCACCCATGGGGTTTGAGTGGGATGGCACCCCATCTCAGCCTTGAGCATATTAGATCCATTTACAAGTGATTGGACCAAGAACAGCATGTGACCCAGTCTGGACCAGTGAGCATCAGGTCGGGACTTGGCTTGGACCTGCTGGGAAGAGACTTTGCCCCTCTGGACAGAGCACTCTGCCTGTCGCAGGCCCGTGAGGACGGCAGACGGGGACAGCAGTCCAAAGATGCTCCTGACACCGTGTGAGCTTTGGACTTGACTGCGCTGAACTGTCCAACTACAGGATCTGTAATTCCCTCTTGGAAACAAGAGTTTCAAAAACAGTTTGAATGGGTGTTCTGACACTTGACTCAGATGAGCAGTGGCCAACAAAATTCCTCTCCAATCGCGTCCTCTCCCGTCCACTCCCCGCACATCAGCCTGGGGGAGCGGGAGCGGGGGTGGGCTGTGTAATGGCACCGAGCAAAGGGGCCCAGAACGGACCCTGCGACAGACCGAGGTCAGCACCAGTTCATGACCTGTGACCCCACAGCCCTTCGGTGCTGAAAGCAAACACACACAGACCCACCCACGCTGCTTCTGTCAGGGTCTTTCCCCTCTTCTAAGTCATGTTTGGGCTTGGAAAGGCTCTTTAGGGCCATAAAGAGTGGAATTAGCAGAAGGAGCTGGCAGTGGTCGCAAGGTCTAGGCCTGTCTAGTCTCCAACACAACCCTCTAACTGGCGTCCCGCACCCAAGCTGTAATTTCTCCTGACAAGGCGCTGCCCCCTTCTCCCCACCCCACAATACCCGCCAGCCCCCACTCCACCCCCACCTTTCCCCCCACCCCGCAGTGCTCTCTAGTCCCCCCACATCACCCCTGCCCCTACCCCCCCACTCTCCCCCACCCCTACCTCCCCACTCCACCCCCACCTTTCGCCCCACCCCACAGTGCCCACCAGTCCCCACCACCACCCCTTCCCCTACCCCCACCCCACAGTGCCCGCCAGTCCTTCCCACCACCCCCACCCCTACCCCCCACCCTGCAGTGCCTGCCAGACCCCCAACATCACCCCCCTGCCCCTACCCCCCACCTCGCAGTGCCCACCAGTCCCCCCCACCACCCCCGCCCCTACCCCCCACCCCACGGTGCCTGCCAGTCCCCCAACATCACCCCCCTGCCCCTACCCCTCCACTCTCCCCACCCCCACCACCCCCGCCCCTCCCCCCCACCCCACGGTGCCTGCCAGCCCCCCAACATCACCCCCCTGCCCCTACCCCCCCACTCTCCCCACCCCTACCTCCTCACTCCTACCCCCACCCCGCAGTGCCCGCCAGTGCCTCCACATCACCCCCCTGCCCCTACCCCCCTCTCCCCCACCCCTACCTCCTCACCCCTACCTCCCACCCACAGTGCCTGCCAGCCCCCCCCACATCACCCCCTGCCCCTACCCCCCCACTCCTTCCCACCCCTACCTCCCCACTCCTACCCCCCACCCTGCAGTGCCCGCCAGCCCGCTCTCGGGAGGAGGTGCGGTGGGAGGGCTCAGGCCCAGCTCCCTTTCAGGACAGGAGGAGGGCTCAGGGACTCGGCTCGGGAGCCACACGCCTCGCTGGCATTGAGTGGCACCGTTTTTTGTTATCGTTTTTACTTTTATGTCTACTTTTACTTAAGACAAATAATACCCATTTCCCATTTGCAATAATGATATCAAATTTTCTTTTAAAATAAATACTACGGAAAAATTGAGTCCCTTAAAGAAAAACAGGAAGGAAATAACAGCACAGATGTGTATAGATATGGCAAAAATCGTGAGGTCCGGAGTGACGGGAATTTGGGAGACACTAATCAAACCATCTCTAAACTCCGCAGGTTTCCAGCTTCTGTCCAGACCTCGCACGCTGACCAGTCCCACGGCCTTCCCCCTGCCCGTTCAGGGTGCCCGAACATGGACCACACTTTCACAGCTGAGCGCTCCCCTGATGCTTCTTTTGAGCCAGGCTGAGCTTTGAGCAGAGGAGATTCATCCTAAAATGCTCCTGGAAGTTTGAAAATGCAGTTGAAGCACAAACATTGCCTTCATATCCAAGTGTGTATAAAAATGTAGATACACTTCAACAGCGCATAATACGCTCAATTTTCATTCCAGACTTTTCTGTATGGGGAGACGTAAGAGATCAAGTTTACGGTACAAAACCGGCAACAGCTGACGAGTTGAGGGCACAGATAGCGCACGAAGTGACTCTTGATGTTGGGATTCCACTGTGTCACCGGCAGCGCCTGGACCAGGGTCATCAGGTGGAAACGCCTTGACAAAAAACGTACTCATTTCTGTGGATTGTTCTGAATTCTGGAAATGAGCTGCTGTGAGTGAACACTGACTTCACAACCACTCTGTGCCTTGGGTTTTTGGACACCCTGTGTCACCTCCTGGACTCTCACAGAACCTGCGGACGGGCGGCGAGTGGAGTGAGAGGACTGGGGACTCACAGGTTCCGGAAGGCGTCCTGGCGCAGGCCGGGGGGCAGCCTCTCCGGGAGGTCGGGCTGCAGGAAGCTGCCCGGGGACCCTCGCAGCAGCTTGCCCAGGACCTCCACGCACTCCAGGGAGCTCAGCTCCTGGAAACACCTCTCCAGCGTGATGAGAAGCAGGCTGCGGTTCACGCCTGGGCTCTGCAGGGCTTGTTTCCGGATCGCTCCCAAGTCAATGACGACGCCTTCCACCTCCTAAAGGCATAAAGGCAGCAGGGGAGGGGGTTTGAGCGCGGTCTCTGGGTGCAGAGGCGCTGAAGGGACCACATTAGCAGCAGCGAGGAAAGCAAGGACCACTGTGTAACCCCACGCTGCATGCCAAGCCTTCTACCGCCTGCCTTTGCCTCCAGGACCAAGTCAAGGCCGCCATTTGCTCCACCCACACGGCATAGCCTATTCTGGGATGCCCGTGACTGCTCACCCCGGCCCTGGCTCCAGCCAGAATTCCTCCCCACTCCTTCCCCTGCTGAAACCCAGCTCACTCCTTCCTGTCCTCCAAGGCTGAGCTCAGGCATCACCTTAATGTCAGATCAGTTCTACCCCAGCAGTGCTCCTAGGAGCATACTGAGCCAAACTCTCTGATGCATTCGAGATGCTCATGGGGCTGTCTTTCCTCCAAGCCGGTGTTCCACTTGGTCAGCAAGCGCCCAGCACCATTGTAGCATCTGACTTCACTGGGTGGGCTGGAGCCCTCGCACCTGACTCTAGTGTGGGGTTGATCCAGGGGCGTCCTTGAAGCGCCTGTTACGAAGACAATCTTGAGAAATAAGCTGTTGAATGAATGACTGAGTGAAGGAATGAATGAATGAGTGAGTGAGTGAGTGAGTGAGTGAGTGAATGACTCCTGTGAGCCACAGAACCCAGTAATGCTCACAGGGCTGTCACGCCTGATTTGGCCCACTGTCCTTCACCCAACACACCCTCTGAAAAATAACAGCCACCACTTACTGAGCACTGACCGCTGTGCCTAGCAGTGTGTCTTCTGAGATGGCCCTCCGCTAGGGTAGGCCCGCGCGTCTGAGGGCCAGGCATCCTCAGATTCAACCCCGACCCTGCGCTTACTCTGTGTGTGTGTCCCTAGTCACTTCCCCTAAAGGCTGCGTCCCTCCTCTTAAGGAGATAGAATCAGTGCCTACCTCCTACCCGCCTTGAAGGAGATAATACATACAGGGTGCGCAGGAGACATTCCACAGATGTTATATTTACACATTTTGATGAACGTGTTTCAATAGAATTGGCTTCCTTTGTGTATTTTATAGATTTAACACGTTATCCTGAGAAGGGCCCATGGGTTCAGCCGATACCAGCAGGCTCACAGCCCTCTCTTCCCCCCCCCCCCCACCTCCTCCTCTGAGCACTGAAACGGTACAATTCCTACGGCCCCATTTCAGGAGAGAATCCAGCGCCCGCACAGGGTCCGTGCTGAGAGCACTGCTCTGGGGACAGGGCTATGGAGCACGTCCACGCCACTCACTCCTGCCCTGTGGCTGCCAGCCTGCTCCCGGGCATGGTGAGCACGGCGGGCAAAGCCTAAACCACGGGAGCCAGGCCCTTTTCAGAAACAGCTTCCGGGCCAGCCTTGGGAACAGGCCTGGCACATGGTAAACCCCAATGCACATTCATCCGTATCGTTTTCCTGGAAATCCCCATTTTGCCTAAACTGGCACTTCCTTTTCTATTATTTACTCTGTATGTTTTAACAAACTCTTTTTTTTACAAACTTCAATTCATTTCAGAAGGAAACACTACATTTCTACTATGAATCTCACAGGTTCAATGTCTCCGTTCTTTTTTAATCACAGACTTTAAAGTAAACCCCTGATGATGAAAATGTGTATTTGGTTCAACTCCTTCTGGGGACACTGGCCCACAAGACCTGCCTCCGACAGGAATCTCAGCCTCGTGGTGCAGGGTCCGCCCACGGGCTCTCTGGGTCTGAGGCTGGGCTTTGCTCTCACATCACTAACTTTTGTGAAAATGATCTGCTTTTTGTTCCTACTCCAAACTGTCAACTCCTGAGGTCAGGGACAGACACAGTCTTTTATCTCTGAGCCCGGTTTCCCTGGGGGCATAGCATCCATTCAAAAGCGTTCATAAACCACTGGAAGCCATGAGGGCTTCCTTTGATTTTCAGAGAGTGAGAAAATCTAGGGCCTAAAACTGCCAGGGGGTGGAGAGGAAGAAGGAGACAGGAAAGGTCAGGGCCGGGCTGGCCAGGGTGGCTCAGTGGTTGAGCGTCAACCCAGGAACCAAGAGGTCACTGGATGGATTCCGGTCAGTCAGGGCACATGCCCGGGCTGCAGGCTCCATCGCAAGTGGGGCGTGCAGGAGGCAGCCAATCCTGGTTCTCTTTCATCACGGATGTTTCTATCTCTTTCCCTCTCCTCTCCCTCTAAAATCAATAAAAACATTTTTTTTTTTTTAAAGAAAGAAAGCTCAGAACCTGAATCAGGCTCAACTCGCTTCAACTCAGCCAGCACAGCGGCCCCGCCCTCCGAAGCCTCACCCAGCGGTCCTTCCTGTCGGCCCAGAGGCACTGCATGGCCGTGCGGAACTGCTGGGCGTCCGCTCCCCGCAGGTCCTCCCGCAGCTGCTGGGGCTGGTACAGGCGCTGCTCCAGGTGGTGCTCCACGGCTGCCTGGACGAGGGGGAGGAGGTGCGTGAGGACAGCACAGGAGGGGCCGCACACGGCGCAGCCAGCCCGCAGCCTCCTACCCTGCAGAGACCCCAAGCAGCACCAACGGCAGGCGGCGGGGGGTGTCCTCAGCTTTGGGAGAAGGGTGTTCCCACACAATCCAGATCTCCAGCTTCTCACGGAAAACACGAAGGTTTGGCGATGCTGGGCGCGTCCCGCCTGGACATCAGCTCGCCGCCCACCCAGCCAGCCCATGTCCCCCTGCCCTCCTGCTCCCAGGGAGATGGAGGCTTCCGGTCCAGAGAGTGTGGACACTCGCCCAGGCCCCAAGCTACGAGGGCCAGACAAGCATTCCAGGAGTGAGAACCCATTCCCTCTGCAGTTCTTCTGCCCGATTCCCTCCGCTCCCCCGGCAGTTCCTCCTCAGCTTCCCTCAAACACAGCTGCTCCGGGAAGAAGGCCAGGGCAGGTGGCACAGGCAAAGGTGGTCTCCAGAGCCACGTCCTGGCTGCGCGGCCTTGGGCAAGTTCCTTCACCAGTTTGCGAGAGAAAACACGGGACACCCAGCTGAGTCTAATCACAGGTAAGCAAGGAATAATTTTTTTAGCATAAGCACATCCCACACATTGCATGGGACATACTTACACTCTGTCTGTTTGTTGTTCAATGGTAGTATTGTAGTATTACCACTCATTCGCTCAATATCTAGCATATATTTGCGCATACATGGAGACAGGTAGTATCATACTAATATGCATATATGTATTTCATGAGAAACCACATGCTAGAGAGAAAGGGCCAGGCATTTCTTGTTTTAAATTGCCCAGCCTGCTGAGCAGTAGGGATGAGGTGCCTGAGAACGCGCACGGCTAGCTCTCCGAGGAGTGCCGCTGCGAGTGCTGGCTGGCATTTTTGTTTTCATCACGTAAACATGGAAACACGCCTGTCAGAACGTCATTCATCCATGACATGAATTCTCTGCGGAATCAGAGAATAGTTCCTGAATTCTGGGAGAGCATTCCCTCGGTTTTCTGTGTGTGCTATTCCCAGGGCAATGGCGAAGACCCAGCACACGGCCCCTGCCACCCGAGGCACAGATCCACGGCCACCGAACATGATTCTGCTTGTAGTTGGGTTAAAAGTGAAGAAAAATGTTTCTTGGATGCATGACCGAGATACTGATACTTATTCCCCTGTTGTTCCTTTCAGCGATAGAATCCCACTCGTCCAAATGGTCCATGGCCTCTGAGAAAGGCCTGCGGTAACGTGACCATGGACTGAGAGCGAAGGAAGGTAAGCAAAGGAAGCGTGGGAGTGCAGCTCACATCCCTAAAGGAAAAGCTGCCCACCTTCACTTCCTGCCCCCTCCCCCCCGCCTGATTCTCTCCTCCTGCCTCATCTCCCCCCCCCCCCCGCCTGATTCTCTCCTCCTGCCTCATCTCTCCCCCCCCCCACGCCTGAGTCTCTCCTCCTGCCTCATCTCCGCCCCCCTCGCCTGATTCTCTCCTCCTGCCTCATCTCCCCCCCCTCGCCTGATTCTCTCCTCCTGCCTCATCTCCGCCCCCCCGCCTGATTCTCTCCTCCTGCCTCATCTCTCCCCCCCCACGCCTGATTCTCTCCTCCTGCCTCATCTCCCCCCCGCCGCCTGATTCTCTCCTCCTGCCTCATCTCCCCCCCCCCCGCCTGATTCTCTCCTCCTGCCTCATCTCCCCCCCTCCCCCCACCTGATTCTCTCCTCCTGCCTCATCTCCCCCCCCACCCCCGCCTGATTCTCTCCTCCTGCCTCATCTCTCCCCCCCACCCCTACCTTCCCCTGGCCTTCCCCGCCTTGGTGGAGAATGGGTGTGCTGTTTCAGGATGTGGGCAACAGCCTAGAGAATGACTGACAAAGTGGTGAGCTAGAAGGAGCCTGGCCTCTGGATGGGCTTTTCAAATATCCTCTCTGGGTCTCCCGCTTAGCTGTGGACCATTGCATAAGACAGAAATAAACTAAATTGTTTGAGCGCTGTCATTTGGGGTCTCTGTTATGGTGGCTCAGCTTACACCCTAAGGCACCATGTCTCCATCCAAGAAGGAAAGATAAAAGCTACTGTAGACCAAGAATTTGTATCGTGTTTTAAGAAAAACTGGACGGAACGTGTTTCCTTGGGGCGAAGCCTAGCTCTACACCTGGCCCCTCTCCGCTCACCTGGCCCGAGGCTGCGGCCCTGAGCAGAGGGGCACATGGGGGAGGGGGACACACACCTGCAGGCTGGGGGCGGTGAAGGCCACGTTCCGCGCGTTCAGGTAGGCCAGGACAGCGTGGGACAGGTCTGCCGTCCACGGCTGGGAGCTTCGGTCAGAGAGACGGGAGAAGGTCACCAGGCGGCTCCCTCCCCTGACAGGCAGCTCTCCTGCTAGCTGAGTGACTGGGCGAGGGAGTGGGGGGTCGGAGGATGGGGAGTGCGGCTGGGATACCAGAAACTGCGTGAGTGCGGAGGAAGGGGGCAGTGGGTGGGGCCAGGGGAATTTCCAGTTTAGGAATCAGCCTGGATCCCCTTCTCCGAAGGACAATGACCAGCCTCTGCGCTCTGTGCAGCATTCCAGCTCCCACAGCAATCCCCCTAAACCAACTACAGCTCAAACAGGTGAACCTGGAAGGCGTCCTCACTAAATTAAGTTGAAAAACAGGCTCTGGCTGGTGTGGCTCACTGGATAGAGCGTCAGCCTGCAGACTGAAGGGTCTAGCCAAGAGCACAGGCTCGATCCCCTGGGTGGGGCATGCTGGAGGCAGCCAATCAATGATTCTCTCTCATCATTGATGTTTCTGTGTCTCTCTCCCTCAGCCTTCCTCTTTGAAATCAATAAAAATATGTTTAAATTAGTAACAATAATAATAAATGAAAACAGGAGCTGTGTGTACCATGAGAGGCTGGAATAGCACTGTGGAGTGTGGGTTCGGAACTGGATTTGAATACTGGCTCAGTCACGCAACTGCAAGGCCTTCAGCAACTTACTGGCTTGACCTGTGCCTCGGTTTCCCTGTCTGTATTATGCATTGTCGGGGTTCCATTTGCTTACACAGGGAGCGTGCTTTGAATGGTGCAGCACATAGAAATGCACAGCTCCCCTCGTAACAGCCAAAGCTGGCACAGCTCACACCCCAGCAGTGGTGCGAGGCCAGCTCCTGTGTGCGCCCACGGAGCACCCTCCCCGCAGAGCGTGCCTGCCGGCGTGAAGCCTCCTCCGTCAGCCCCTGGAAGGCCTTCAGAAGCCTGTTCTTGTTATAAGTGACGGATGAATAACAAATTAATAAATCAACATCTTAGCCTGAAAAAATATTCCTAAAACTACCCATTGGAGTCATCTTAGGGAGGGGAGTGTTGTTAGCATGTTAGCATGATTGGGCGCCCCTGCCGTGAGGCCAGCACTCCCGGCAGACAAATATCTGCGGTGGTTGTCCTTCCACAGGGCTCCCCAGAACCCTACCTGTGCCCCAGGGGTCTCACAGGGCTATCCGCACGGGTGACACCACGGCGAAGGCCATGGCGGGGCTCCCCTCCCCACTGCGGGGCTGGATGCACCCCCGGCCTCGGTGTCATCATTCCGCCTAACGGGGTGGCAGCAGGGCCCCAGGTGCTGGGAGGGCCTGATGTGTTTCTGTGCATAAAGCACTTCGAACAGCCCCCCCCCCTCTCCCCCCCCCGCCCCCCGCTCCTGTGCAAAGGAATAAGGTTGTGGAACAACTGTGTCTCCTTAAAAACACACTCGTGCTTCGGCTGGCATTGTTTGTAATGTGTATGTATTACCTTTTACAACTAAGAGACTTCCATGAAGAACTTTTACTAAAAATCTATCCCCCTCCCCGCTGCCCCAAGAGCAGGTTACCTTTGAAACTGTATGAGATCCAGAAATGCTAGAATGGGAATAAAATGAAAGATGCTTAAAAATGAGGCACTCCAGAGAGATGGGTCACATTCGGTGTGAAATTCTTAGAAGCAGCAGGTAGGGGCATTACCATTCAGATAGTTTCCATCTGTTATTTCTTCCTAAAAGGCAAAGGGACAACAGTTAAGTATAACATCCAAAACTGGAGAGGAGGTATGGGTGGAAGGAAGGAAGGAAGGAAGGAAAGAAGGAAGGAAGGAAGGAAGGAAGGAAGGAAGGAAGGAAGGAAGGAAGGAAGGAAGGAAGGAAGGAAGGAGGGAAGGAAAGAAGGAAGGAAGGAAGGAAAGAAGGGAGGGAGGGAGGGAGGGAGGGAGGGAGGGAGGGAGGGAGGGAGGGAGGGAGGGAGGGAGGAAGGAAGGAAGGAAGGAAGGAAGGAAGGAAGGAAGGAAGGAAGGAAGAAAGGAATACTCACTGCCATTTTCTGCAGCAATGGATGCAAACCTGTAAGAAAACAGTGAATGCACAGCTAGAGCTGAACTGTGTAACCTTCCAAGATACAAATGTGGGTTCAGATAAGAGTCCCCCTAAAAGCCATGGAGGAAAATGATAGTGTGTGTTAGTCACATCTGCACCTATATGTGCCCAGTGTGAGAAAAGCTTGGTTTGAAAACCCCTTTTAGAATAACCGTGAAAACCCTCCATGTGCTCTTGCATGCACACCTGTGCACACATCATGTGCACACACACCTGTATGCACACAGCTATGCACACACACTCCAGAATACCTCAAAGCATTAAGGACCTAATCTGGCCCATCCCCTCTCCATCCCCTAGGATGTGTGGAAACCATGAGAGGTTCCCTCCCTGCGACTCACCCTGGCTGGAATTTGCACTGAGACTTGCCACTCCATGGCTCAGAAAAAGGAAAAGGGCAGGTGCATATGTCCTAGGTCCCTGAGTCATCCTCCTGTAATTAATTCAAGCATGATTATTATAGATCAATAATTCCAGTTTGATTTCTTAAATATATTTAAAAGATTCAGAAGACAAAAGGGAAAGACAAATAGACCCAGAATCCCTTAAGGTTTTTTCAAAAACAATTTTAAAATCCTATCTACTCTTCCCATGTAAACCCCTATCCTGGTCTAAGACACAGCCTCTCTCACCTACTGAAAGTCGTACCTTCCCTCCCATTCCCCTCAGCCACGCAAGAGGAGTGCTTAAAATCAAGGACTCTGCTGTATCTAACAAAGAATTTGTGTCCAGGATATAAAAAGAACTCTTGCAATTCAGTTAGAAGAAGGTAGCCAATGGGGGGAAATGTAGAAATATATAAACTTTATTTAAAAAATACAAATCGCCAAAAAGCACATTAAAGATGATCAACATCATTAATTATCAGAACATGCAAATTTAACCCACAATGAGATACAACTACATTCTCCCTAAAATGGCAAAATATTTAAAAAACTGATAATACCAAGTTTTGGTGGTAATGGAGAACAAGAACTCTAATACATATGTTGCTGATACAGCCACTTTGGAAAACTGTTTGGCAATTCTTAAAAGTTAAATATATAATACTCCATGACCCAGGAATTCACCCCTAGGCATTTACTCACGAAAAAATAAAACTTAAGTCCACGCAAAGACTGTACAGGTTCATTCATAAGAGCCAAAAATTAGAAACAACTTGAATGCCAACAACAAGTGAAAGATTAAACAAATGTGGCATATCCGTCCAATGGAATACCACTCATCAATAAAAAGGAATGAGTTGAGCTTTTGCTTCCAGATATGACAGGGTCATTGGCAGGAGATAAAACCTCATACTTTAAATAATTAGAAAACCAACCAAAATATATGAACAAATGTTTTTAGATTCTGGGTGACAGGTAACGCAAGGCTGAGATTCCTAAGAGAAGGGAAAGTGTGAGATACTAGGAAATATATGTATACTGGTCCTGTTCCTGGCTCCTGCACAGAGCCCCCCAAATCCTTGCAATTCCTGAGTGACAAGGCACCAGGGCACCCTCTGTTCCATGAAGGCGAGTCTAGATGGTTCTGGACGGCTCCCGGATGGGAGCTGATCATCTTAAAGACTAAGCCATGATTTAAAGCCCGGAATGTTCAGGCCTACCCCCACCCTCCAGAGAGAGGCTGGAATGGAAGGTAATGGCTGACCAGCCAAAAGGAGGGAAATCCCAATACTACGTGGTTCAGACATCTCCCAAGATGGCAAACATCCACACTGGGAGGGTGGGCACCCTAATGCCACATGACAAAAGTTCCTGGACTCAGAACCCTCCAAACCTCTCCTGTGTAGCTCTTCACCTAGCTGCTCCTCTGTGTCCTCTGTCGTGCCCTTTAATAAACTGTCACTAAGCACGAGTGTTTCCCTGACTCTGTGAGCTGCTCCACCAAATCCATCACACATCAGGGCGGGGTGGGGACCTCCGATCCTAAGCAAGTCCCACAGAAGTTGTGTGTAACCTGGGGACCTACCACTCGCAATTTGCATCTGAGTGGGATAAAAGAATTTGGTGGGACTGGGCCCTTAACCAGTGGGGTCTGGCATTTTCTCCAGAAAGTGTCAGAATTTAAATTGTAGGACACCCACCGGCATCACAGAATTGCCTAGTGTGGGGGAAACCTTCACACACTTAGTGGCCAGATGAAGTGTGCCGTGTGGAGTGGTAAAGGAGACACACAGGTGACAGGCTCACAGGAACGGACAAAGGAGGGGAGAACTGGGCTTTTCCCTACTCAGGAGCTTTTCTTTACACTTAAAGGAGCTCTGCAAGCTCACTACCTGGGGTCTCCACACCTCAGCACAAGGAGGGAGGATACCAACAGAGCCTGCAGGTCTCATTGAACTGAGGAGACAGTTGGGGACACTATGAAACATCTAAAATGCATGTAATTAGAGTCCCAGGAAAAAAGAGGGTGGCAGAACAAATATTTAAAGAAACAATGGCCAAAATCTTATCAAGTTTCATAAAACTATAAATCCACAAATCCAAGAAGTTCAACAGACTCCGAGCAGAAGAAACAAAGAAAACCACACTAAGGCACATCATAATCAAACTGCCAAACACACACACACACACACACACACACACACACACACACACACACAATTTAGAATTATAAAGAACTCTCAAAACTAAACCTTAAAAACAATCCAATTAGTCAATAGGTAAAACACGTGAGGAGACATTCCACCAAAGTGGATATCCAGAAGACAAATAAGAACATGAAAAGATATTCAACATCATTAGCCATTAGGGAAATAAATATTAAAACTATAAAATCATTATAGATCTACCAGATGGCAAAAAAAAATGTTTTAAAGTGATGAAAGAAACTGAATCACATTATAACCATAGCAAGAGGAATAAACTAACTTAAGAATATGGATGCCTTCAAAGATGTAATGCCAAACAAAAGCCAGTCCAAAAGAGTACATATTCCATGATTCAATTTATATGAAACTGTAGAACAGACACAATAATCTACAGTAACAGAAAGCAAATCAGGAGTGACTAGGAAACAGTGACGTACAGTGGGAGGAGGTTATTTCAAAAAGCACAAGGAAACTTCATGAGGTGAAATTACTATATCTTGGTGTTATACAGATATGTACAAATGCTAATCGAATCTCACTGAACTGTACACCTTAAATGGATGTATTTTAATATCAATTATACTGCACAAATGTTTATTTCAAAAGAGAAAAGAAAAGCATGGACTGAGAAACCAGATGCCTGGTTTGAATCTCATCACCACCACTTATTAGCTGTGTGATGTTGCACAGGTTACTTCATCTTTCTGGACCTCTGTTTTCTCATCTGTAAGATGGAGTAAATAATTGTACACCCAGCATAGTGTGGTCTGAGGATAAAGTAGCTAATAGTAAATCACTTACGTGGATTGGTAGAATCAACATCATTAGAATGTCCATAACTACCCAAAGCAATCTATAGATTCAATGAAATCCCCATTAAAATACCAATGTCATATTTCAAAGACCTTGAAATTCATATGGAATTAAAAATGACCTGAATAGCCACAGACAGAAGAACAAAATTAGAGGGATCACAATATCAGATATCAAGCTATATTACAAAGCCACTGTTCTCAGAACTGCCTGGTACTGGCACAAGAACAGACATATAGACCAATGGAATAGAACAGAGAACCCAGAAATCGACCCAAGCCATTATGCTCAATTAATATTTGACAAAGGAGACAAGAGCATAAATGGTGTTAGAAAAACTGTACAGGTACATGCAAAAAATGAAACTAGACCACCAACTTACACCATACACACACAAACAGACACACACACACAAAAAAAAATCTTAAAATGGATGAAGGATTTAAATGTAAGACAGGAAACCATAAAAATCTTATAAGACTCCATAGGCTTAAAATATCAGATATATGTCATAGCAATATCTTTACTGATAGTGCTCCTAGGATAATGGAAACTAAAAAGAAAATAAACAAATGGGACTACATCAAATAAAAAGCTTCTACACAGCAAAAGAAACAATCAACAAAACAACAAGAGAGACCACTGCCTGGGAGAAAATATTTGCCAATGTTATCTCCGATAAGGATTTAATCTCCAAAATTTACAGAGAAATCATACAACTTAACAAAAGGAAAATAAACAACCCAATCAAAAAATAGCACAAGGACCTAAATAGACACTTTCCAAAAGAAGACATACAGAAGGTCAAGAGACATATGATAACATACACAAAGTCACTCATCTTCCAAGAGATGCAAATCAAAACGACAATGCAGTACCACCTCACACCTGTCAGAATAGCTATCATCAACAAATCAACAAATGACAAGTGCTGGCGAGGATGCAGAGAAAAAGGAACCCTCATGCACTACTGGTGGGAATGCAGACTGGTGCAGCCACTGTGGAGAACAGTATGGAGCTTCCTCAAAAAATTAAAACTGGAATTCCCATTTGATCCAGTAATCCCACTTCTAGGAATATATATAGCAAGAAATCAGAAACAACAATCAGAAAGGATATATATACCTCTATGTTCAGCTGATTTACAATAGCTAAGATTTGGAAACAGCCTAACTGCCCATCACAGATGAGTGGATTAAAAAGCTGTACTACATCTATATGATGGAATACTACTTGGCTGTAAAAAAGAAGGAACTCTTACCATTTACAACAGCATGGATGGACCTGGAGAGCATTATGGTAAGCAAAATAATCCAGTCAGAGAAAGATAAATATCACATGATCTCACTCATTTGTGGTATATAATGAACAACATAAACTAATGAACAAAAACAGATGCAGAGATATAGAAGCATCAGACAAACTGTCAAACCTTAGTGAGAAAGCAGGAGAAGATGAGAGGAAAGGGGAGTAAGAGATCAACCAAAGGACTTCTATGCATGCATGTAAGCATAGCCAATGAACATAGACAATAGTGGGGTGAGGGCATGTGTTTGGGGTTGGGAGTATTACATATGTCTCCTCTCCACCACCACCCCAATTGAAGAGAGGCCAATGGGGGGAGGGAAGTGTTGTGGAGTGAAGGCAAGTGAATGACCACTAGAGTCTAGACCAAATTAAAATTTAGGGAGCCTTTAAGAGCTGGCAGGCCAGCTGGCTATGACTGCTCTGCCTTTCTCCATGCAGGGAGTCCAGAGAGCAGTCCTGACCCTTTGTGCAAGACCACTTTTAAGCACATTAACCACATCCTGTTTTTGCAGAACAAGTAACCCAAGACAAAACAGTTTTTCCCAAGCAACATCAGGGTCATGCCATTGACGATCATGTTGTTCACAGGGTCATCCTGTTCTTCAGAAAGCTGACAGTGATCTATAAAAGAAGGCCTACGTGCTGGGAAGGGGCCATGAGACCCTATCTCAAGGCCTGACCTGGTGTCAGCACTGGCAACTCTATCTGGGGCATA